ATTTATAGTAGTATTACTATTAATCATTAACGAACTAATATATTTTAAGAACATGAGAATATAGAGACCTCTAAATTATATAAGCCACACTAATTAATATGACAACCTGTTCTCTAGTAGGATTGCATGCCTTGTTTTGATTGGTTCTACTTAAGTGGTATTGACTACGTTCTGAGCTTCCTCCCTCAGAATACTTCCGGTCCTTTTTAAGATGAAATTTTTCTCAATTTGTGACCCCCCCCCCCCCCCCCCCCGGCTCTTGCCATGGGCCGCAATATAGCCTGGCCATAAATATGGCCGAAAGGCTGAACGCGGTTTCTTGGACCTCTCCACAGTGATCCTCAACCACATGGTAGCACATTGTGTCATCGGGTGTTAATCGCTTGTGTGATATGGGGTAGAAAGTCAGTCAGCCTCCTCACTGTCAGCACAACCCAGCTAGAAAGACTGGACCGGATACAAAATGAGGCCATGAGACTCATACTCCGCTGCACAAAAGACACCTCGTGCCACGCCTCGCGGTATATCCTGGGTCTGCTGGTGATGGTATATTGGACATAAAGTGGCATAGGTGGAAAGCGTAGATGAGAATATCAGCAGACATCAACCGTCCACTGCACAATGCTTTAATGATATAAAAGAGGCCTCTCCTGGATGGCCGAGGTAGAAAATCTAATCCGGCAAGTTTTTGACCTAGACGAGATCAGACACGGAAAAGAATGGACTGATACATCAGCAGACATGCATGAATTGTCTAAGGTTGTCATAACACTGGGGAGGTACTGCAGATACATGCCAGTGTAGACGCCGAGATTGATCAGCATTTATTCCAGAAGACGTTGTCATTTATACATAGGTCCGTGAAACTCGGATCAAGATCGACATTGCCATATACAGCTCAAAGGATGGGGTTGGGGGGGGGGGGGCGATAAAAGAGGACAGCGGTGCTTACCAGACAACTACGTAAGCATAACCATGGAGATAACTACTGCTGAACGTGCTTCAAAAAATCGCTACAGGAAGTCTACGCTCCGAATGGGTAGAAAGTACTCGAAAGTTAACCTCCATCATCTAGATCTATACACCAGGACACGCGGGAGTACATGGTAATGAAAGTGCTGACCAGCTGGCAAGTAATGCACAATGTAAACGGGAAAAAGCATGGACAGAGCTGATATCATCAACGCTGTACGGACTAGGTTGGGGGATAACAGAGGATCTCTGACGCCAATACGACTATGTTACCGTACGTAACATGTCTTCAAGGTAAATACAGGAGATACTATATCGCATGGGAACAATCAGTAGAGATACTCTGGAGGGGCTGCTGCATCTGAGGACTGAGCACGCATGTGAGATGCAAGTGTGTAAAGTCGATTGTGATAACACAACATATTGGTTCTACACATGTAGTATATATATATTTCTGTTCTGTTTGTGTATGTGCATACTAGTGTCCAGTTTAATTTGTTGTCTAGTTAGATGGTATACCTTTATCTTATTTGTTTCACTAATGTTGTATATGTTTAGATTGCCTATTCCCAGATTTTAAAAAACCTGGACAATGGACGATTTAGAATACCAATGAGACGACCAGAACACACACATGTATAAGTTTCGATCAATATAAATCAGTTGCTTATTATTTGTGATCTCTGATACGCCCAGATAAATGATGATTTCCCTCTCCTGCCACCTCGTTTGAAGAGGCGACCTGTTGTTTCACAGTATGCAGTGTCTGCAAGCGAAGTCTCTCCGGCGACAAATAGTTTTTATCATCCCCGTATGTCATCTGTACCAGAGGGTTCCAAACGCTGCATATAAGTATCACGCTTTTTTTTTTTTTTTTTTTTACAAACATAACTTTGCCATACAGTAAATATAGTCTTCTAGCAAACCCAGTTTGCAAAACCTTACAATTGCAGTTTGTTATTTTCAAAACTTTTACATTTAAGCGCCATACGTTCATACTACAGCTGACACACTAATGTGTCACTAGACACAGTTTTGTAAAAGCCCCGGTCGACCCCCAAAAGTGCACAGATCCGGTGTGGTCAATTTATATCCACATGATTTTGATTAACCCCTGTAGTTTTAAAAGCTATAACGTTTATTATGCTTAGTTTGTGTTTATTGTAATTACGGTCCTGGCAATTTGCTTCCTTGTCAGCGTGTTATACTCCTGATCTCCAGTGACCACTGGCCCGCTATGTCCAGTCATGTGTTAGGTGACCACAATGACACGCTGAATGTCTTTTTCTGACTGTCAGCACTCGAGGAGAACACTGGCCCTTTGTCTGAAGCCATATCTGACTACCAGCCCTTGAAATCACTGGCCCACTGTCTCAAGCCATGTCTACCAGCCCTTGAAATCTCTGGCCCGCTGTCTCAAGCCATGACTACCAGCCCTTGAAATCACTGGCCCGCTGTCTCAAGCCATGACTACCAGCCCTTGAAATCTCTGGCCCGCTGTCTAAAGCCATATCTGACTACCAGCCCTTGAAATCACTGGCCCACTGTCTCAAGCCATGACTACCAGCCCTTGAAATCACTGGCCCACTGTCTCAAGCCATGACTACCAGCCCTTGAAATCACTGGCCCGCTGTCTAAAGCCATATCTGACTACCAGCCCTTGAAATCACTGGCCCACTGTCTCAAGCCGACGGCCCGCTGACCCCACTGGCCCACTGTCTGAAGCCATGACCACCAAGGGTTGAAATCACCCCCGCTGACTAAAAGCCATTGACTAGACATTGAAATCACTGGCCCACTGTCTCAAGCCATGTCTACCAGCCCTTGAAATCACTGGCCCGCTGTCTAAAGCCATGACTACCAGCCCTTGAAATCACTGGCCTGTTGTCTCCAATCATGTCTGTCTACCAGCCCTTGAAACCAATGGCCCGCTGTCCCCAGTCATGTCTAAGTTGACCAAAAGGGTAAACACCAGAGACTACTGATTGCCAGACATTGAAGAGACCACTGACCCGCCATGTCTGATTGCCAGACATTGAAGAGACCACTGACCCGCCATGTCTGATTGCCAGACATTGAAGAGACCACTGACCTGTGGTGCCCAGTCGTGTCTAAAAGTGACCACGAGGGTAAACACTGACCTCCTCCTCCCCCCCCCCAATTCCCTAGGATTGAGAGACGCCAGCCAATCAGAGGAGCGGATACATTCCGACTTACGCATTCTCCAAGGTAAAAACACAACTAGGTCACATTACACCCACAGTGAAATTAGTCCCCATCTTCCGGACTAATTGAGCTTCAATTTCACCAAAACTTCACATTTGATAGGTGATTTAGCTTTAAAGAATTACTCTAAAAGGATTTTTATGTAAGTGACATCCGGGTTATTATCTAGAGGAAATGGGATATTTGTGATCGTCTCGGAGTGTTATTTTGGCAGCCATGTTTGAATCGGACGGCTTGATCGCCATTACGACAGAAGGAAAAAATTGATGCATTTTCTTTCAGCACACCTTGAACAACTTGCTTATATGATGGGTAAATATGTCAAAAATTATTTAAATTGTTGCTTTTCCAGTATGTGTAGGTATTGAAATGATTACTGCCAGGCGAGTGTTGATTTCGGTGTTAGTAAATAGAATGTATAAATCGTAGTGTCGCGCGCCTTGTCCGATAAACAAGCGAAGATGAAGGGCGATGGTACGACGGGCCCTTCAAACGGGTTTTTCCCCCTCTTTCACCGCCAGGCGATAGTTCATTTAACTGTATATTATATTGACGTATTGACAGTACTGATGAGAATATAAGTACTCAAATGTCTGAGATAAACTTGTAGTCTAAAATATTTATTTAAATGTTGTGACTAAGGTGCGATCAGTCCGTTGGTTGTTGTTGTCCACTGTAGGAGGAGGCAGCCTGTTGAGATCTCAACAAGTTTCTGAATCTTAGCGATCAGAATCTTCGACGGTCAGCATAGAGCCGTGCTGGAAGCCAGTGAGCGTCTAGTTTTATGATTTAAACTTGTGACATGTAGTTGTGTGCCTCCAAGCAGGCGACTGTGAAAGTGCTCCATTCACCATGGATAAGCTATCTAGTCTACAGTTAGAAGAAACAAAACAAAACCGCGATGACCATACTCCTAAGTCCCTTCCCCAGCTAATAATGAGGGTACTGCTGGAGTGATCGTTGATTAACTCTCATATAATGCTTCAGGTCAAAATGGACGCTAGGAATGACCACTTTTTTTTCCAGACGGCCGTTTCATTTTAGCTCCATTTGTAGATTCGTCGCCCAGCATTCTAAGTTGAGTGCATGGTGTGAAACTGTGAGCTTCGTGTGTTTTTAGTTGGCACAGGAGCAGAGCAACTATGGGGTGACCCGTTTGCTATGAAGCTGAAACTAGGATTACCAGATTACTCTATATGTTTTATTAAGTATGTATCTTGCAACAGTTGGGTTATTAGTTCATCAGAAACTACAATTTCATATCCCCCATAACATAAATGACACAGGTAGAGTATTGCCATATTCACCGATTTTGCTTCTCAAATACTGCCTGAATGCATTCAGCATGAATTCAAGTTACTCACCTAATCATTACGACCCACTCATTAAAAATTATATAGTTAAATGTAACAAATATAATTCTTTATGTGTATGGAGGAGTGAAAGAATATACTTTTTTTTATTTGTGGTGGTAGTATACACCTCAAAATGAATTGAACATCATGAATTTTGTCTTATTTTAATTATGGTTACCTATTGAAACATGTATAAGAAACATTAACAGCTGTTCCATTTTGAACATTTCTATGACTTTGTTTCCATAGATGCGGTATACAGCAGCCGGTTTGACGACCAAGACATTGGTTGAGTTGGACCAAATATTTGATGTTGTGATCCTAGTTGGTTTATTAGATAACAGTTCCTTGTTATCATAAAGACAGTCAATGATGTAACTTTTCCCAAGTTGAATCATCTGGGCTATTCTCGGCCAGAGTTAATTGCTCACTTTTGCAACCATCAACATGGTTAAAGAAAGCCACAAAACTGTGGAAGCCAATTCTACCTACTTAGAGTGGATTTTGGAAGCAGTTCACAAGATCAAACACCAGAAACAGCGACCAAACAAAGACAGAATAGTCAACGCTATTCGTCAGAATCACCAGGTGTCAGAAGATTCTATTGTAGAACAACTCGAGTTTGCTGTCAAAAGTGGTCAGTTGCTACGGGTCGAAAGCAATAATGACTTCACTTATAAAGATCCTTCTGTGGGGTCACAGTCCAAATCAAAAACACTGGAGTTGGATAGGAAGACGGACCTGACAAAGATTATTCTCCAGTGTCTTCGAGAATCCAAAGATGCAAGAGGCCTTATGCTTAAAGCTATTGAGAAATACATTATCGCAAAATTTGTCATCAAAAGCAGTGACGATGAAGCATTGTCCAAGAATCTTCGTGTATGCATTCGTAGAGCAGTTCAGCGGGGTCGGCTGATACAGTCCGGCAAATTTATCCAGCTGCCTGAGAAGAAAGAAGTCAATGGTGGAAGCTCAATTGACTTAGAAGAGGCAAATTTTGAAGTTGTCTTGCCTTTTGAGCGCAACAGGGTAAGTACAATTAGTTTAGTATTGTGAAGTCAGAGTGCATATCTGTTGTTCCTGTATTGTGTGTTTTGTAATGTGAAGTCAGAGTGCATATCTGTTGTTCCTGTATTGTGTGTTTTGTAATGTGAGTGCATGTGTTTCTGGTATTCTAGTCATGTGCTGTCAATTTAAGGTCGGAGTTGAGTGCTAGCCCAATCTTTTGCTCTACTTAGCCTTCTCAGGTTACAAATGGACTGCTGTACTACAAGCGCCCATGTCAGCTATGGAAGGCTGTCTGGTCCCACAGACAACTTTAGCACAAAAGCCATGACCTCCAGGAACAAGTCTAGAGAGAACCTGGCATGATAGGGCTGCCTTAAGAGAATGACAGTCCAGATTATAGAGCACATAAAAGGTGTTGGTGAAGGGGGCACACACTTTATAACTTACTGGCAACCTCAATGTTCTGGGACAAGAAGGAATACAAAATTATTAGATCAGTAATGGAAAGTCAGTCAAAGGGCACAAAAGGGACATGGATGCAAACCTAATTTGAAGTTAACAGCTGTGACAGACATCGTTTACACTCATACTGGCCCATGAGGACTTGGATGTCTCTCAGAAGAATCTGATGTCATGACACAAACTCAATGACAGTCGGTTTAGCAAACTAACTTAAATATGAGGTAATTTGCTGAGAGTTGAGGTAGTTGTTGCTTATGACATGCTGGATAAGGAGCAGTGGTTTATTCTTCCCAAAACCCAGTGGGCCCTTGTGTTTATTCTTTCCCAAACCTAGTGGGGCCCTGGAAGCCATGTATACAGGACATTTATTTTTTAGTGATTCTCATTGACATGTTACCTCTACCACATTTATCTTTATCTGTTGGTTCTCAATTATATTTTACCTCTACCATATTTATCTTTATCTGCTGGTTCTCGTTGGCATGCTACCTCTACCACATTTATCTTTATCTGTTGGTTCTGGTTCTAATTGGAGTGTTGCTTTTCCCGCATTTATCTTTATCTGGTCATTGTCATTGATATGTTACCTCTTTCATATTTGTCTTAATCTGGTGATCCTCATTGATATGTTAACTGTACATTATTTGTCTTTATCTAGGGATCCTCATTGATATGTTAACTGTACATTATTTGTCTTTCATCTGGTGATCCTCATTGATATGTTAACTGTACAGTATTATTTGTCTTTATCCGGGATCCTCATTGATATGTTAACTCTCTAATATTTGTAGGGGAACCGCAAAAGCGCGGTCGATTGGAGATTCGTTTTAAAAACCTGGCGGTGTGCGGGGTTCACTCAGCCTCTATAAAATATGTACCAGAGTTGACACTCTGGGATAAATGGAGAAAGGTCGATGTAGCTACGGAGTTACATGAGGACGGCGACTCATGTGGACAGTTTCTTATTAGCTGTGCGTACTGATGGCAGAGCACTTATGGTTTCTAAACGGCGTGCAGTGACGCTGGTTCATATCTCCTGACTTTACCTTTTTACCTTTTATCTAAAAAAAATTGTTTATCTAGTGACCCTCACAAATGTTACCTCTCCTTTATCTAGTGATTCTCATTGGCATGTTTTGTTTATTACATATCCCAGAAAACAGCAACTCCAATGGTATTATGCAGTTTCTGCTTAGAAGGGCCAGATAAAAACCGGGAAGGCAAGTGGGAGGATCTGATTTCTTGTGCAGATTGTGGAAATAGTGGTGAGTAGCATGGTTTGTCTGCGGTGTGATAGCATTTCTTGTTGACCTATACTTTGTGATGTCTTGCCACTTAACTAGAGTTATGAGAGCATTGAATATCAGGGTCCGGGCTCACAGGAACACAAGACTACATTGGTGTAGCTTGTAGTGTGCTTCTGTAGGGACCGTTATCGCTAGCAACAGTTTTGTAATGCTAACCTGTATTGGTTGATATTTCATAGCATTACTGCCTCTTTTCATTTCTAGATTGAAGAGTTCTGGCCTACGACTTATTGTAATGCACAAGCTAGTATTGTGCAGCTGGCTGAGGTTCTGGTACAGCACAGTTTAGTGAGAAACTTGCATTCAGGTTCAACAGCTAAAGTATTTGCAGCCAGGTGTTACAGTGGGCTAGGCAAATTAGAGGCTCAAGTCAGAGAGACAGTCAGTTGTGCAGGAAAGAATACAATTCAATAGTGGAGTGAAAGCAATACACACAGCAAGAATCAGCCTGTTTGTCACAAATAACTCAGTTTGAAAAAAAAACATGCAGATGAAAAACAAATAGTGACTTGGGAAAATTGAACTTCAAGCTGATTTAACCAGACTGAGTTAGATGCATATAAATGTCGCCCGTTTTCTAATTAAAATGTAGACGTAAAATAAAGCAAAAAGATTTCATCACACTTCCAGTTTGAAAACTGTGAAGGCATTGATATAAACAGTGACACAACAAGAATGACACGCAAAAACAAGTTACATTGTAGGGTAGCATACACATAATAATATGGCAGCTGTATGTGTTTCTTTATCAATCATGACTGGAAAAAACCAACCAATAACTTGGAATAATTTGGGATCTGGTAAACTCACCCTGGCTTCAGTTAGTAAATTGTCTACAGCAGTCGTTGGTCTTGGGGTATGATTTTATCTCGGGTGTGAGAGCACCTGATTTCAATTCCTGGACGAGTCTAAATGTTACACTATTGTCTGGAAAGATGAAAAGTTGCCAATGATGAGTCCTAAATACTGACATGCACACAATAGAGCTCCAGTCTTCCATGACAAACAGGCGTAGAAGTAACTTAGCAGCAAAGTAATTGAGACACTGACAGTTTGTGAAGGCCCACATAATGTGTGTTCTGTCTTTGATTCCTAACCTTAAAGGTGACCAGCCTTTTTTAAGGCTTGGGGACTACTGGCAATTGTCTGATAGATGGCACTGAATTGTAGCCAGCTGTTTTTCTTGAGGAGATAAAATCGGAAGATGTCAGGATTTTCTGTGTACCCTTTCTAATGTTGTGAATCTTAATTTCTTTAAGCTGCTGCAAAATAATGTTTTTTTTTTTGCTCTGTGATAGTTCTCTAGGGGGTCAGCACTACATGAGGGACTGTATTAAAGGCTGGCGGCATTAGGAATGTTGAGAACCACTGGTCTAGTCCGAAAGATGAATCAGGTTTAGTTTGTTCACTTGTTCTGCAGGGAGTTTAACTTGTGTGATCCAGAACAAAGGTCACAAAAGGGCTAGGAGTTCTTGGAAGCAGCTTTGAAGTTCACAGACGATTGACAGAAATGACTAAACAAGGATTGTATGGAGTCAGTTGTGATTGTTACTTTTTTTCCCTAGGTCACCCCACATGTTTGAAGTTCTCAGATGTACTTACAGCTAGAGTCCGGCGACTGAGGTGGCAGTGCATCAACTGCAAAAAATGTTCATTTTGTGGAAAATCTGGCAAAGAGGTGGGTTGAATGTTTTGTGGAAAATCTGGCAAAGAGGTGGGTTGAATGTTTTGTGGAAAATCTGGCAAAGAGGTGTGTTGTAGATAAGTTGGTGGTCAGCGGTGTATTTGTTTGTTCTTTTGCTTTGTCAGATGATGTCATTCACTGCCTACAAATATCTCAATAATTGTCTACTTTCTGCACAGATCACACACAAAGATTCTCAGGACACATGTATCTCTGTAAGTGTGCTCAGGACACACATGTATCTCTGTAAGTGCTGAACTCCCCTCCAAAGATCACACACAAAGATTCTCAGGACACATATGTATCTCTGTAAGTGCGCTCAGGACACACATGTATCTCTGTAAGTGCGTAACTCCCCTCCAGAGATCACACAGGAAGATTTATAAATAAAAAATTGACTCCTTGTCACTGTTGAAGAAATTTGTGTGGTTGTATCATAAATTTAGGTGCAATATATATTCTTGCATGCACATCTGTTTAACAGATTTATCTTATTTTCGAGCAAAATGTTGGTTCTTTACTTCTCAGGCAGATGCATCCTGACTTCGAAGAACCCACTCCGACTTTTATGACAGGCTTTTAAGGTTTTCATGGGTCTGTTTGTTTTTCCCCCCCAAAAAGACCTCGGAATGCACACAAAGAAGTGACAGTATGAATTTGAAGATTTCTAAAACTCACATACTGTCCAGTTTGTAAATCAGTGTTTTCGGTATAACTCAAATGGGCCAGACAATGCTCTACACACTCTGCCAGCAGCTGATTATTTTGGTGCTGGGGTCTGGTTTAAGACCGCTGATGTTATCTCACAGTAGTATCGAGGAGGAAGGGCATTTGCAAATGAAGCCATGTGTCACATCCAAATAGATCTTTAGTGGAAGGTAACAAGGGTGGGTAGGGTATTGTTGCAAAGATGAATGGACAATGAAGGCAGAGAGCATTGCATATTATAACATAACATCCCGTATGGGAATGGAGGTGGGGGCAGCTTTCTGATGGCTTGAGAGCAGTACATAAATTTAACAGACTACAGAACATGCTTCATAAAATGGAAACTGGCGTCCTAATATAGAATGGCTTACATCGCCAGGATAAGGAACAGGTTGATATATTGGTTGCTGCGGCTCCTCGGGTGGAGCTACTTTATGATAAAATGAATGTCTGGGATCAAGTGGACAGTGTAACATAACAGAGTATCCATACCTTCAAATCTTGAATGACTAATTAGGGTAGCGAAGGTTCTGTATAATATTCCATGCTGAGCGGAAAACATAGGTGGACTTTTATTGAGATTGCAACTGACACTGTTAGCATGGGAATTCTTCATTGGGTACTGAGGGGTAAACATAGAAGGGCTTGCAATGAGATTGCAGCTGACACTGTTGGCATGGGGACTCTTTATTGGGTACTGAGGGGGAAACATAGGTGGACTTGTAATTAGATTGCAACTGACATGGTTAGCATGGGGACTCTTCATTGGGTACTAAGGGGGAAGACATAGAAGGGCTTGTAATGAGATGGCAACTGACACTGTTAGCATGAGAACTTTTCATTGGGTACTAAGGGGGAAAACATAGAAGGGCTTGTAATGAGATTGCAACTGACAATGTTAGCATGGTAACTTTTCATTGGGTACAAAGGGGGAAAAGGGCTTGTAATGAGATTGCAACTGACAATGTTAGCATGGTAACTTTTCATTGGGTACTATGGGGGTAAACATAGAAGGACTTGTAATGAGATTGCAACTGACACTGTTAGCATGAGAACTTTTCATTGGGTACTAAGGGGGAAAACAGAAGGGCTTGTAATGAGATTGCAACTGACAATGTTAGCATGGGGACTCTTCATTGGGTACTAAGGGGGAAAACATTGGCTACTGAAGATGGAGTTTGGAGTGTCTTGAGTGCAACGATGTCAACTTCTTATTTTTGGGCAAGTTGACATGAGGTTTTGTTGTTGATACTGCAGGATGACATGCTGTTCTGTGATTTCTGTGACCGTGGCTTCCACATGGCCTGCTGTGATCCTCCCATTGCCAAGCCACCAAAAGGTGAGTACCTACAGAGTTTTATAACCAGATCATTCTGTCTTCTCAGTATGAGGCTGTTGGTTCCAGACTTGTCTTTATCCTCAGAGTGCTCACCCTTCTTTAGTCAGTTAATCCTTAGGGTCAGCCCACGACCGGCTTCAGCTGACGGGCCGTGCTGCTGACGTCACTGAGTCAGGCTAACGATGCGTTAACGCAGCGATTCTTATACAAGAAATAAACTTTTTTCGACAGTGGCGAGGGAAGACAACTTTTAAGTATCGACATGACTTCTTTAATAATTTCACAATTTTTAGCTGACTTTTCTTGAATATTGCCGTGGCACCCCTGGCAAATGCTCACGGCACCCCAGGGTGCCTCTGCACCCAGTTTGGGAACCGCTGCGTTTACGCATTGTTAGCCCGACCCGGTGACGTCAGCAGCACGGCCCGTCAGCTGGAGCCGGTCGTGATCAGCCTAAATCATAGCTCTGATTTTTCTCACAGTTCTTCTTTTGGCTTCCTCTTTTACCACACTGAGGATGATGGAGGTACATGACTTTAGTTCTTGCTGTTGTGGCTATCTGGACAAAGAGATGGAGATACATGGCTTTAGTTCTTGCTGTTGTGGCCACTTGGACAAAGAGATGGAGACACATGGCTTTGGTTCTTGCTGTTGTGGCCACCTGGACAAAGAGATGGAGATACATGGCTTTAGTTATTGCTGTTGTGGCCACCTGGACAAAGAGATGGAGATACATGGCTTTAGTTCTTGCTGTTGTGGCCATCTGGACAAAGAGATGGAGATACATGGCTTTAGTTCTTGCTGTTGTAGCCACCTGGACAAAGAAATGGAGATACATGGCTTTAGTTCTTGCTGTTGTGGCCATCTGGACAAAGAGATGGAGATACATGGGTTTAGTTCTTGCTGTTGTGGCCACTTGGACAAAGAGATGGAGATACATGGCTTTGGTTCTTGCTGTTGTGGCCATCTGGACAAAGAGATGGAGATACATGGCTTTAGTTCTTGCTGTTGTGGCCATCTGGACAAAGAGATGGAGACACATGGCTTTAGTTCTTGCTGTTGTGGCCATCTGGACAAAGAGATGGAGATACATGGGTTTAGTTCTTGCTGTTGTGGCCACTTGGACAAAGAGATGGAGACACATGGCTTTAGTTCTTGCTGTTGTAGCCACCTGGACAAAGGGATGGAGACACATGGCTTTAGTTCTTGCTATGTTGGCCACCTGGACAAAGGACGCCTCATACTTGTTTAGTTATTGTGTGTCCACCTGAACTCTATATCCATCTCTTCCTTTATTATATACACTGTACTGTATATTATCACAGGTAATTTTATTATGTTTTGGTGCCGACTTTTCTCTTACTGACTTTGTATCGCATATGCCGCCCAGTGATTCAGTAATGAGACTGGTTTTATTATGACCAAAATAAAAAATTCATTCACAAAACAAAGCCTGTCATTCAAACAGGCTCGATTCATCCATGATCTGGTAAAATTTCTGCCTGGTCAGCAGATAAGTTGCCCGTCGTTTTAACTGTTGAAAGTTGCTTCGTTACAACTACAGCATGACGCGGATGACGAACATGAATTCTGTTTCTTGGACAGTTAAGCTGTGATAAATTTATAAGAATTATATACTACTATGTATTATATCTCTTCTGGTCATTTCCGCAGACTTTTTTCTGTGATTACTAATGTGTGTTCCTCTGAGTGTCTGGCACTGCTGGCATAGTGTAGGGATGAATATTTTGTATTTTTGTGAGTGACCATATCTGGCTGACACTGGTAACATAGTGTAGGGATGAATGTGACCATATCTGGCTGACACTGGTAACATAGTGTAGGGATGAATGTGACCATATCTGGCTGACACTGGTAACATAGTGTAGGGATGAATGTGACCATATCTGGCTGACACTGGTAACATAGTGTAGGGCTGAATGTGACCATATCTGGCTGACACTGGTAACATAGTGTAGGGCTGAATGTGATCATATCTGGCTGACACTGGTAACATAGTGTAGGGCTGAATGTGACCATATCTGGCTGACACTGGTAACATAGTGTAGGGCTGAATGTGACCATATCTGGCTGACACTGGTAACATAGTGTAGGGCTGAATGTGACCATATCTGGCTCTGGTAACATAGTGTAGGGATGAATGTGACCATATCTGGCTCTGGTAACATAGTATAGGGATGAATGTGACCATATCTGGCTCTGGTAACATAGTGTAGTGCTGAATATGCTGTTCTATTGTGAGTGACCATATCTGGTACAGGTTGGGGATCAGTATGCTTGAATATGTTTCTTTGCAGTTACTTAGAGTTGACCCAGGTCCTTGATTGGATTTGTAAACTCCACTCATACCTGCATCTGAAGCATTACTAACTTGACAGCTGTGTGTATCTGTGATAGTGATTTGGTTTGTTCACGTGTTCTGCAGGGGATTGGAAGTGTAACTTGTGTGATCCAGAACGAGGGTCACAAAAGGGCAAGGAGTTCTTGGAGGCAGCTTTGAAGTTCACAGAGAAGGTGAAGACACAGATCCAGGCTACAACCAGAGACAGAGTGAAGAAAGCCAAGTATGTCTTGTCTGAATGAAGTCATTGTTCACAACTGAATCTCTGTCTGTCTACTGGTTTAGTGTTAGTCCAGCCTGTAGTTGTTACAGTTTGTCCTCATTTGTGTTCAGTGCTTTAGAAGCATAGGGAACCGTCTTGTAGCAGGTTCCTTTTCCTGGTTGTCAGTCCAGAGTAGATTAAAAAACTATTGTTGATCTAGTTTGTATTTTCCATGAAATCAGCAGGCCTTCCATGAGGTTGGAGGCCCAGATAACCAGACCTACCTGTGGTAAAACGCAGTATAGGATCAATTTCTGTGTGTTTTGATAAAATACGGTATAGGACCTTCACTGTGCCTTAAGGCAGGGCTATTCAACTGGGGGTCCACTGAGGTCTAGCAAGTGGCCAGCGGATTAGTGGTTAAAATAGTGATTTTTCTTCGCTGCTCCCATTTTGTTGCACACCATTCAGTCCTCGTCGGATGGGTTTGCGCACCAGCCAGCACTTGTTGGGCCCTGTGTGTATGCTGCTCCCATACTGGGCACCAGCCAGCCCTTTTTGGGTGAGTGTGGTCATTGTGACACTGGTCAGAACAGTTTCCTGGTATCCTTACAGGGCTGCATTCATTTTATTATAGCATATGTAAACTGTGAATTCTTGGTAACAACAGAGGAAAACAAATGAATAACTGAAATGCCAGTCACAGCACAAAGCTGAAAACATGCAGTAAATAGAAAAGTCAAAGTAATTATGTATTTCAGTGTTTTATAATGTCAGTATTCCTCTTGTGCTGTTTTGAAATGTCAGTATTCCTCTTGTGTAGTGTTGTGATATCATTTCTCTTGTACAATTTGTTTTGGTGATTCAGCATTTCTTGTGGTGTGTTTTTGCAATGTCAGTATTTCTGTTGTAATGCCTGAATTCCTGTTGTGCTTTGTGCTTTTTTTGTGTAATGTCAGTCTGTCTCTTGTGCTGTGTGTTTATGTTTGACATCTGCGAATACTAATTCTGTGTTGACCCCCGGCCCACTTGTGTGCAGGTTGTACCAGGCCACCAAACAGAAAGCTATCAACATCCGGGCCACAACTATAGGCAACAAGAGGAAGAGGAAGAGCACCGAGAGCAGTGGAGGAGAGGACAATGATGCAGACTCCTCCCAGGATGTTCTCTCCCCCAGTGAGTTGCCTGTCCTCAGTGGGGCTAGCAGTCTTGAAACTTTGTCAATTTTGCCCGAAACCAAAAATTTGGTGGACGGACTATCTCGCTTTTTCACCCCCACAAACAAACGATTGTCACGGGTGTCTCTCAGTGCAATCCAGCCTCCCCTTATAAACTTGTCCTCAAATAAAGTCATCGCTGAGGCTAACAACAAAAATACACGGAAAGCAAAACCAGCTGACTCAGTGTCTGTCAAATCTCGCTCTAAGACATCGCAGAGCCAAAGTCAGCAAGCAGCCACTAGGCTTATCAAACGTTCCAAGCTGATGCACGCCTCCAGGGGGCGCCAGAAAACTCAGGGACCTCCTCTCATTGGACAACTGCGAGGTCTCTTTGATGGCCTGTCCACGTTTTTCAATGCAACAGGTGAGCGCAAGAGGACTTTACCAGTATACAATCCATCTAGACAGAAAAAACATTCCCCTCAACACCTTTCTGATTCAGCAGCTAGTTATTCTTTGTCTCCTTCCGACCACTGTTCCTGGGACTCCCCCGCACACAGCTTCTGTGATAAGACTCGTGCTGGTTTGAGTGTGTGTATAAGTGACAACAATTCTAATAGCAGATGTGGGCCGGTGTCTGCCCTCTCATCGGCTCGGCATGATCTTTCTTGGTGGGATGACATGAAGCACCTGATGCAGATGACTTTGGAAGAGTTTCATCACTATGGGGCTCATCCAACAGATGCCCGAAATAGATGTTGGACGGCCAGGGGACCAAGGAGGACATGGTTTTCCCGCGAGAGAGGTCATGGCAGGGGCGGGAGCGGCAGAGTTTTCAGGGGTAAGCTTTCGTCCCCCTCCTTCCCCACATCATTCTTGAGTCTACACCCTTGTGTGCCTGCAAGCCTGTGTGAATGTCTGTCTGGCAGCCCTCCCAACCACCATCAATCACAGCTCATCTGTGTTGTGACTGCTCACCTCACTTCTAGGTGACTACTGTTCCAGGCTCTCTGTTGTCACAGTACTTCATTACAGATTGACTAGCTTCAGACACTCACTCCAATGCACCACAGTGTCCTCTTTCGCTCACCTTGTGTTGAAATATTGGCATTGAATAGGGAGCTTTGTTCCCTCGATCCACAAATAGTGTGTCTAGGATAGTCTGTTAACACACGGTGAGAAATTCCACATCAGTCAATCGATCCACCATCAAATGTTTATATAAATAATGAGATTTGGACGGACTCTGCTAGTCAGTGAGGTATGGTTTTATTGTCTGCTTTGTTTTCCTATTTTTAACATTCTAAAATCAGTGAACTAAATACTAACCAATTGAATTCATCAAATGTTGCTGATTGATGTGTAACCTAATAGCCTCACTGTCAGCTTGTTTGGTCGTTACAATCATCTCATTTAACCTGATTCTTTACAGTCTTCTGTAACCATCTGCCACAGGTCTAGCTTTATGTGCACTCTGAACTCTGCTAGAGCAAGCAGTATATATCACTTATATATTTCAATACTAATACATGTGAATCTCCTGCTGGCCCGTGTTCTTGTTGCTTTTTATGACTAATTGATGATAGCCAATGTCCTGCATGTTGTAGTCTGAGCCTCCCCTTCAGTGTCAAGTTGGGACCTGCAGTGTCTGGTGTGAATGCTGAGAGAATGTATGGCTTCTTGTAACTCACAACCCTCTTTGTTTTTTCTGTGTAACGGTTAATTTAGAATATACATATAAGTTAAGATGTTAGCGCAGTAGATTCTGCTTTAGGGCTGTGAGTGGGGGGGGGGGGGTGGATTGACCTATTCCTGCTTCATGGTTATCCTTGATTGCTGCCTTAAGTCAAGTCTGGATCTCACTTTACAGTTGAGTGCAGCAGTCTGCTTGGAAACCGCCATCTATCTGTTTTTTGTCTGTGCGGACAGCATTTATTTCTGACCTGGTGTTCAAATGTGTTTTCTGTCTAGGCACATAAAAGTGTGACCTACCATCTAAGCTACTGGTTTTACAGACAGTATCAGTTTAGACCAGGTGGTATACTATCTGTTTGTAAATGACCAGGTGGTATACTATCTGTTTGTATGAGCAGCCTGTGCCTACAAGTTGTCCAGTGTGGATACAAGCTGTGTCGTCATTACAGATGAAATATGAAAGTTTTCCTGAACAAATGTAGTTATCCTGACCCCAGTAATTCTGAACAGTTTATGACAGAAACCCTTTATGATTACCAAGCATTTACATTAGGGATTGGTTGGTAACATTGGTCTTACGACTGAAACAGAATTAGAGAATAGGAATTCCAAGACCTCTCCACAAGATTTCCAGATCATGTGGGATGGAAACTGACATAGAAAAAAAGGGAGCACGGTGTTGGTGAATAGCTACAATGAGCACAGGACAACCAGTATAAACAAAGAAGTGAAAATCTGGCAGTATTTAGGGCCTGTCCTAGGTAGCTCTGGTAGTTCAAGTAAGAGTTCTCAACACTTGAGGTGGCCCATTCTGCATTAGCAAGACAGCTGTGTCAAGATAAAACTACATCACTTGTGTTATCTGTTCACTTATGTGATGGATTCTTCTACTACGGATCCAGAATCTAACATGTAGAAACCAATGTTTTATGAAAAATTTGTACACATGGTGTTTTATATTCTGAATCTCTGCACTGATAGAAGAATGACACAGATGCCTTTGTCAGAGAAAGTCAGAGCATATAATTATTTTGTATAGACCAATAGACATTTGTTGGCCAGTGTCTGCTACCTTTACTTCTCTGGATGTTTCTGGTACCCATTTAGATGAGGTCTTTGAAATCTGAGAGATAAGAGACCACAAGTGCATACATTTAAGCCAGGCTATGATATGTTCACACAAAACTCAAACCAAGGTCCAGACATGGATGAACAACCAGGACTATCTTTTGATTTTCACAGCCGAAAACCACAGAAGATGACTGTCTGGGAGCGGTGAACAGTTTGAAGACAAAATATAGACCAGTCACTGTTCTAGTGATAAAAGTTGATAAGAGTATTGATGTGTGCCCTAGTGGCTAGACAGGCCAGTGTTAATAAGAATATTGATATGTGGCCTAGTAGCTAGACTGACTGGCCAGGGTTTATAAAAGTGGCTTTTCTCACTGATCTTCCAGTTGCCACGATGTTCTCCAATGTCGCTCTTCTGATTATGTGGCCAAAGTGTTTGTCTCTTTCTTATTGTTGTATTTAGAGATCTACTTTCATTAGCCTCTTTCAAGCAATCGTTGTTAGTTACTCTGGCTGTACAAGGTATTCGTAACATTTGTCTCTGAAAACACATCTCTGTTGCTTCCAGATTCTTCTGAATTTGTTGACTAACATTCCAAGATTCACTGGCATACAGCAGAACAGGTTCTATGTAACATTTTAGCACCCTCTTTGATTTATGTATGATTGATTTATGAACGTTCAACTCTCGATACGACTGTTGAAACCAACGCAAGATGATCTGCTGCCAAATTGCCATGCAGCTGGGATAGAACACTGCAGTACGAAGTACTTTCCTAATGCCTAAGCCACAGATACAGACTGTCCAAGCGGGGAGAGGTCCATTGTTTGACCTGATGCTGTGCAGATAGGGAGTATTGCTGTGTGGTATTGACAAGTGACAAGACACTGTCACAACCTACTGCATGCCTGACTTGCACATACCAGGCTCTTCTTCTTCGTGTTCACCAGCCATAAGCTCTGCTTGTTCATCCACTTCTGGTCTTTAGTCTTGTTTCAGAACTTAATTTTTAGCTTACAGATTTGGCTTTTTTGTGTGCAGACTGTTGGATCCTTGCCTCTCTGGCAAATTTAGTCCCACTTCGGTGGAAACACCCCTCATTAGTCACCTTGTATGATGTGCTTGATGGGAGGGGAGGGCATGGGTCTGCCCCCTTCTCCCTGGTCTTCAGATGCCACACAGGAAATGCACCAGTTGTTGGTGTGTCTTAGCTCTTGTTGTATGAGCCTTTCTACAGATGTAACCTGTTGTCCTGTCTTACAGATACTGTCCGTACAAAAGCAGGTATGGTGTTACCTTCGTATGTCACGGAAGAGGACATTGCTCTCTTCAAAGAAGCTCAGGAAAAGACACAAAAGGACTTAGACAAGGTAATTATTTTATTTATGCTTTGTCTTCATTGTTCTGCTGTGGAATAAAAGAAACAATCAGCAGTCAGACTTTGTGGTGTTCTGTAGACTTCTTGTCATCTTTCATTTCATGCCATTTATTATACTTGTCTTCACTACATGTCCTTGTTTTGTTCACCAGTGTCAAAATTTTTGCTCGTGTTTGTGTTTCCTTTTATTTATGTGCTTCTTGATTTGTTCCTGAGCTTTCCCGTCTCAGCCTCTATTAGGACATCTAAATATTTTCTCATGTTTACATTCTTTTTAAATAGATTCTTCATGTTTTTATGTTTACAGTGATGGCTTTGGCATCCTGAATTATTCTGTTGTTTTTTAAATTAAAAAAACTATAGGAAGAGATAAAATACAGGGGTCTGACTACTTGATTGAGAGGGAAGAGAGAAAGTACAGGGGATTAACTACGTGATTGATGGGGAAGAGACAAAGTAGAGGGATTTGACTACTTTATTGACAGGGAAGTGAGGAAGTACAATGGTTTGACTACTTGATTGATGGGGAAGAGAGAAATTGCAGGGATTTAACTACTTTATGTTGGCAGTATACAAAGATTGGACTGCTGGATTTATTAGCTTTATTGGGAGGAGACAAAGTAAAGGGATGCCTTGATGTAGGCAGTGTACACAGATTGGACTGTTGATTTATTGAGAGGAGACAGAAAGTAGAGGAATGCCTTGATGTAGGCATTGTACACAGATTGGGCTGTTGATTTATTGAGAGGAGACAGAAAGTAGAGGAATGCCTTGATGTAGGCAGTGTACACAGATTGGACTGTTGATTTATTGAGAGGAGACAGAAAGTAGAGGAATGCCTTGATGTAGGCAGTGTACACAGATTGGACTGTTGATTTATTGAGAGGAGACAGAAAGTAGAGGAATGCCTTTATGTAGGCAGTATACAGGATTAAACTACTTGAAACATATCTACTTTTCAGACACAGGGTCAGCCAGCACCAGAGCCCAGGTCCCATCCTCTGCCGAGTCAGCAACAGTTAGACATATCCGACAGTCTTGACACGACACCTGTCACAGAGCTGCCACGATACCCACCTTGTATAGAGCTGGGCCAATATGAGATTGTCACCTGGTACTCGTCACCTTACCCTCAGGAATATGCCAGGTATATCTTATGTTGCCTCTCACTTTGCAGCTGTTTTTGTTCTGTTCATTGTTGTCTGTCTCCTAGTTCTTGCATTTAATGTTTTACTTTTAACAATCAGTAACATTTTAACTCGTTAAATACACACACAAAGCATTGTCACACTGCGCATTGTTGGATCAAATTTTGCTAACATTGTCACACTGCACATTGTTGGATCAGATATTGCTAACATTGTCACACTTCACAGTGTTGGATCAGATATTGCTGACATTGTCACACTGCACAGTGTTGGATCAGATATTGCTAACATTGCCAATACAGCAGAGTGTTGGATTATATATTGCTAACATTGCCAATACAGCAGAGTGTTGGATTATATATTGCTAACATTGTCACACTGCACATTGTTGCGTCAAATATTTGCTGACATTGTCACACTACACATTGTTGGATCAAATATTGCTTACATTGTCACACTGCACATTGTTGAATCAGATATTGCTTACATTGTCACACTGCACATTGTTGAATCAGATATTGCTAATATTGTCACACTGCACAGTGTTGGTTCAGATATTGCTAACATTGTCACACTGCACATTGTTGGATCAGATATTGCTGACATTGTCACACTGACAGTGTTGGGTCAGATATTGCTAACATTGTCACACTGCACAGTGTTGGATCAGATATTGCTAACATTGTAACACTGCACAGTGTTGGATCAGTTATTGCTAAAATAGCCAATACAGCACATTGTTGGATCAGATATTGCTAACATTGCCAATACAGCACAGTGTTGGATCAGATATTGCTAACATTGTAACACTGCACAGTGTTGGATCAGATATTGCTAACATTGTAACACTGCAGAGTGCTGGATCAAATATTGCTAACATTGTCACACTGCACAGTGTTGGATCAGATATTGCTAACATTGCCAATACAGCTGAGTGTTGGATTATATATTGCTAACATTGCCAATACAGCAGAGTGTTGGATCAGATATTGCTGACATTGTCACACTGCACATTGTTGGGTCAAATATTGCTGACATTGTCACACTGCACATTGTTGGGTCAAATATTGCTGACATTGTCACACTGCACATTGTTGAATCAGATATTGCTTACATTGTCACACTGCACATTGTTGAATCAGATATTGCTAACATTGTCACACTGCACAGTGTTGGATCAGATATTGCTAACAATGTCACACTGCACAGTGTTGGATCAGATATTGCTGACATTGTCACACTGCACATTGTTGGATCAGATATTGCTAATATTGTCACACTGCACATTGTTGGATCAGATATTGCTGACATTGTCACACTGCACAGTGTTGGATCAATTCAATGAGTATGATCCGGAGGGTTCAGGCAGGTTCCGTGCGAAGACAATGGCTTGAATCATTACAGAAGTCCACTGTTCGTGGAGTCACCTTTATTTTTGTTCCGGGACACCCAGGCGTCGATGGAAATGAAAGAGCTGACAGGTTGGCTGGATCCGCTATCACTACCGACGGTCAGCCTATGGATCATGCTGATATTATCAATGCCCTCAGAGAAATGGGAAGAATAGAGGACTTTGGTGGCAGTGAATCCACATCACTCGCCAGAATGGCAGACTTGGGAATTAAGATCGGCACAGCAAAAAACGAGACGCACACCAGCTACGCCAAAAGACTTGTTAATCAACATAGAACTGGTACTATTAGCCATCGGACGTTGGGGTTCATACTGAGGGGAGGATCTGAGCACCTATGGACATGTCCGGAGTGCAATGAGGATAACCCAACTAACTAACTAACTAACTAACTAACAAAAGTGTTGGATCAGATATTGCTAACATTGTCACACTGCACATTGTTGGATCAGATGTTGCTGACATTGTCACACTGCACAGTGTTGGGTCAGATATTGCTAACATTGTCACACTGCACATTGTTGGATCAGATATTGCTAACATTGTCACACTGCACAGTGTTGGATCAGATATTGCTAACATTGTCACACTGCACAGTGCTGGGTCAGATATTGCTAACATTGCCAATACAGCAGAGTGCTGGATCTAATGTTGCTAACATTGCCAATACAGCACAGTGTTGGATCAGATATTGCTAACATTGTCACACTGCACAGTGTTGGGTCAGATATTGCTAACATTGCCAATACAGCAGAGTGCTGGATCAAATGTTGCTGACATTGCCAATACAGCACAGTGTTGGATCAGATATTGCTGACATTGTCACACTGCACAGTGTTGGATCAGATATTGCTAACATTGTCACACTGCACAGTGTTGGATCAAATATTGCTAACATTGTAACACTGCACAGTGTTGGATCAGATATTGCTAACATTGTCACACTGGACTAGAAAACACTGTTGGTGGCGCTGTGATTTATGTCACAGGCGTGAGGGGAAGTTAAGTCCAACATGATGTGTATAAGGAGATACTCCGTACGTCACTCGGGCGCCAGTCCTTTACTATCCTGGTTGTACGGAACCTCACGCAAGACCCCTACAGCACGTCCTCGTCGTGCGCCACGGATAATATCTCAAATGAGCATTAACAGAGCTGTCAGGGGATCTCGGAGTTCGGCGGCCCCCAGAGGTGATGTGTCCTTGTGGCTCTCATCAGCCCGCCCCCAAACGCTTGGGTGAAAAATGTTATCAAAACTCATTAGAACATGAGTAGGTTTGCCAAACGTACAGCCAAAATTACAACCCTTGGTTAAAAGACTGCGGAGTAAAGAGAACATTGTCCACTGTACATCCTCTGTTAACCCTCAGTGTCGTCGTCACCGCGCTGAGGTACACCACAACAGCAACCATCCATAGGCTGGCCATCCTTGTACATCCTCGGTTAACCCTCAGTGTCGTCGTCACCGCGCTGAGGTACACCACAACAGCAACCATCCATCAGATGGCTAAGCCTAAATGTCCGACAAAACTAGATCATACGGATCAAAATCTGACCATCAAAATTTGTATTGAACTAAAAAAGACCGAATGTCCACACCCAAAGACCCCACTCGCCCGAGTGTTGGGACAAAACTGATAACGATATGCCTGATCAGGATGTAAAATTCTGTTGGGCTAACGGCTCGTCAAAGAAATCTAACGTGCGAAGAAAAAAAGAATGTACCTATCTGTGTGGTCACTAAAGTCCAAAACCCACAGGCTGCTCCCCGCTGACTTCCAGAGGGCGCATCCCCTGTCGAGCGGGAGGCCTGATACGGTTGTGAGGTTAAGCAGGCATGTGCAGGACGTGACGATTCCTTGGGTGAGCCCAGAACCAGAGCGCCATGTGCCGGCTCTGCATGCATGGAAGCCTCCTTGGATGGCGGGGAATGCCCATGATCTGCCCCTGCCTTCCCTTGAGGGCTAACTGTTCCACAGGGGGCTGCCACAAAGGGGTACTCCGGTGGCAATACCTGCGGCGAAGGAGACAAAGTGGACACCACACAAATCAGGCAACGTCTCGACCCACACAAAACAATGGCCACAGTCACCCTAGAAATAGGCCTGACGTCTTCCTTCGAAGTCGGAGTACAGCTGCCCATGAGGCAGGGAAATGAAAAACGGTTGTACACGCAAAAATCAGGTCCAGGTGAAAGCCAAAAGTCCAAGCGGACGATTAACCGGGACCTTCCACTGGAATTCACAGCCGGTGATCGATTAAAAAAAAAAAAACTGTTGGAAGCTGGTCTGCTGGGTCAGTGAGTGACTTTCAGCATAGTAGTGCCGTCAACGACTAGTGAATGATGTTCCAGTCAACATTTAGTGAGTGATGTTCCAGTCAACATCTAGTGAGTGATGTTTTTTCAGTCAGCAACTAATGAGTGATGTTTCAGTCAACATCTAGTGAGTGATGTTTCAGTCAGCAACTAGTGAGTGATGGTTCAGTCAACATCTAGTGAGTGATGTTTCAGTCAGCAACTAGTGAGTGATGTTTCAGTCAGCAACTAGTGAGTGATGTTCCAGTCAACATCTAGTGAGTGATGTTTCAGTCAACATCTAGTGAGTGATGTTCCAGTCAGCAACTAGTGAGTGATGTGATCGAGATAAATCTGACCACCTGAACATTGCTTGGTGCACATATGCATGTCTTTTGACCTGAGAGTCCTGGTAAAGTTAGAACACTCTGCCTCAATGGGGATTCAGACCTGTGAGGGGGAAATCATTACGGCGAAGGAGAACTGTCTCAGTGGGGATTCAGACCTGTGAGGAAGAAATCATTACGGCGAAGGAGAACTGCCTCAGTGGGGATTCAGACCTGTGAGGGGGAAATCATAACAGCGAAGGAGAACTACCTCAATGGGGATTCAGACCTGTGAGGGGGAAATCATAACAGCAAAAGAGAACTGACTCAGTGGGGATTCAGACCTGTGAGGGGGAAATCATAACGGCGAAGGAGAACTGTCTCAGTGGGGATTCAGACCTGTGAGGGGGGAATCATAACGGCGAAGAATACCTCAGTGGGGATTCAGACCTGTGAGGGGGAAATCATAACAGCGAAGGAGAACTGTCTCAGTGGGGATTCAGACCTGTGAGGGGGAAATCATAACGGCGAAGGTGAACTATCTCAGTGGGGATTCAGACCTGTGAGGGGGAAATCATAACAGCAAAAGAGAACTGCCCCAGTAACAAGAAGGGATCACAATAACATTGAAGGAAATAGAAGAAGGTTAAGACTAAAATTAGTTACCCAGTTCATGAAAGAGTAACAGATTGTCTTGACAAAAATGTTGTGCTACCGGCTACCATAGAGAGCAAAAGAAGGAACAAAAAAAGATATAAAAACCAAACAAAAAGTATATCAGCAAGCTTCACAATATAACAAACACAAAACGTGAATGTTGCTGCTATGGAGCCTTTATCAGCACATATATAAATAAAACAATACAACACAAATACACAAAATCAATTGTCTTAGTATCTTGAAGTGGCCAGGTCGATGTCTTGTCAGTTGTCTAGAAGGAAAGGAAGGAGCAAAAGTATCAGGAGCAGACTTAAAAAAATAAAGATCAGCATTCACAGCACCTTTGATACAGCACACAGGTGATCCCGACACATCCCCTTCAACACTTGTGTGAGGTAACTGGAAAAGGAGAAGAGAAGACTTTTGAATTGCCATGCAAGGGGTCATCCACTGCCCTAGCATGACTGCTGGTGTGTATGTACACTACCTTCAGTGTAGTCAAGGCTGTTTGTCTGTTTCTTACACTTTATCACCAGTGTTTGTTTGGTTGTTTCATCAACAGCTTACCAAAACTGTACATTTGTGAATACTGCCTCAAGTATATGAAGAGTCGGAACGGACTGCAGCGACATTATGTAAGTAATTGCTTGTGTTTTCTGTCTGTCTGTCAACTAATTTCTATTTTACCCACAAGATTGATATATGGACTCAGTCAGTTCTAGCCTTCTGACAGTTTAAACAGACCTTGCTTCAGGACACAGATTTCTCGGACATCAAGTCTGTTATTGCCACCATCGGTACTTATTGTTTTAAACCACCATGTCTTCTTGGCATCTTCGAGTAGATCACAAGTCTGTATGTAGTTGTGTATTCAAAAACTTGGCTTCATCTTTCCAAGTCCATCAATAGATGAATCTTGTATCAAGTAGTAATATGTTCAGAAACTTTACGTCCTCTTCCCTATGAGTGGATCATACCCCTGTGGGTTCCTGGGGAGGAGCAACATGCCACCGACCACTTTTGTAAATGTTAACATGAAAGAATGGGAAGATCACAGCTGTGGTAGGAATTGGTGGCATTTTTAGGACCTTCTTACTAGAATGTAGATTGACTGACCTGAGGCCAGTGTGTACATTCTTGTGCCTGTTTGACACAGAACACAATACACATACAGTGATTTTATGTACATACTTGAACTTCAGTCACCACAAGTATAAATTTGTGTTATCAGGCAGGCAGCCAGAGTCAGATTTGTGGATAGAGTGTTGCCTGTATCGTGAGGCTGTTGTCCTGTTTCTATGTAAATGTCACTGTATAGCGATAAATAAAGTCCTTTGTAAATAAGGGATACACCATGTGACAGTGAGAAGGTTAGTTTTACCATATTAAGCTGGTCATGTTATCACAGTTCGTCATTTGGGTCTAGCACCAGTGTCAAATATCTTTCATTATTGCAGTAAAAATGTTTTTTCTTTTTTTAATTTGATGTTTTAAAATAAATGAGCCAGTATTGAGATGTCTACTTGATAGAATGTGTTTTTCCCCCCTCACCAGGAGAAATGTGATCTCCGACACCCACCAGCGGATGAAATCTACCGCTGCGGTGAGCTGTCTGTGTTTGAGGTGGATGGACAGACCAGCAAACTCTACTGCCAGAACCTGTGTCTGTTGGCCAAGCTCTTCCTGGATCACAAGACACTGTATTACGATGTTGAACCATTCCTCTTCTATGTGCTCACCATCAACGATGAGTACGGCTCACATATAGTTGGCTATTTCTCAAAGGTGAAGACTGCTTGATGTCAGTTATTGTGTTGTCTGTTGATGTAAATTCTCAAATAATGTGTGCGAGACGAGGTGTATCAGAAATGGAGGGAGAACAACCAGAAGAGGCAGTCACCACTGGGTAAATAAGAACAATGGTAGGCACACTACCAGTGAATGATTTTACAGAACATGAAATAATCTAATGGTTTGGTCATTCTTTAGAGTAGAATAATATCAGCCAGCAGCTAGAGTGTACTACGTAAGAACTGCAGGCTACAGGCAAGAGGCTTACCAAGAAACCTATGGGTGGAGGGAGTAAAGAGAGACTACAGAAACTCAATATGACATAGACGCAGGCTAGGCGGTCAGCAAAAGACATGAAACTACATTTTGATTCTGTGATGCTTCACGACATAAGCAGTAGGACCCCGCCCCCCCCCCCCCCCCTCTCTAAAAAAAAGAGGAGATACAGCTTAATATGCCAGCCTGTCTGTTGTGCCCTCATTGTTTACGTGTTAAACGTCTGATATCTGAGGCAGAAATTGTATCAGCATTTACATGTGAAATGTCTGTGATATTTGAGGCAGACATTGTATCAGCAGCGTTTACATGTGAAACATCTGTGATATCTGAGGCAGACATTGTATCAGCAGCGTTTACATGTGAAATGCCTGTGATGTCTGAGGCAGACATTGTATCAGCAGCGTTTACAGATGAGACAGCTGTCTTGGGCAGAAATTGTATCAGCAACTTTTACATGTGAAACAGCTGTTGGGGGCAGACATTGTTTATATATGAAACAGTTGTGATGTCTAAGGCAGACATTGTTTATATATAAAACAGCTGTGATGTCTAAGGCAGACATTGTTTATATATGAGTGAGCTGTGATGTCTAAGGCAGACATTGTTTATATATGAGTGAGCTGTGATGTCTAAGGCAGACATTGTTTATATATGAGTGAGCTGTGATGTCTAAGGCAGACATTGTTTATATATGAAACAGTTGTGATGTCTAAGGCAGACACGTTGTCTGTAATTGTGTGAACTGTTTCCCCAGGAGAAACATTGCCAGCAGAAGTACAACGTCTCTTGTATCATGACCATGCCACAGTACATGCGCAAAGGCTACGGCAGGCTGCTCATTGACTTCAGTAAGTTGTGATGTCTTTTGTTGTACCTACATGTTTTGTTACAAACTGAACTCCTATAGTTGATGGCTACCGCACCCACCAATAGGCTTGATGGTGTACACGAGGAAGAATGAACAAACTTATAAGACACCTCAGCACATTACAAAACTACTAGAAAAGATCTCAGCAGTGAGAGAAGGATAAGATCACACCATGTAACGTCTTCTGCTATCTTTTAGAAAGCAAAGTGACCATATTCCATACTGTGTCATAGGCAATGACCAAGAGGAATTGGTCGACCAAACTCACAAACATGCTTTACGCTGGTCAGTAATAATAATAAAAAAAAAAAATCACCTACAGTAACGGTTTTTGTGTCCTCGTTATATATATATATATATATATATATCGCGAGTAATCAAAAAACATCAGATGAAAGCAGTAGTCAAAATGGCATCTAATGGCCATTTCATTTGGTGGGGGGGGGGGGGGGGGGGGGGGGGGGGGGGGGGGTGAACTACCCTAAATGCAACTTTTTATAAATATATTCAAATCTGAGCCTCTTGAAGACTTGGAAAGCGCAAACAAAACCTACACTGTTAAGTAGGCTTCTCAGGAACAGGTCAGTGAAGAAATGCAGGGAAGGCCGGGTTTGAGATTTCTCGGGTGACAGGTTCATGAAAGACCATAAGACATCTTCATCTCCTAGAATGGAAGAGAAGTCTTGTTTGTACAGTATCGAAATGTAGTGAGTATCATTTATTTGAAACACATCATTAGGAAATATGGAGATAACAGATAAGGAACAGAAGTAGTTGTTGTTCTGCTGTTGTCACTGTGTCTAAGTAGCATTATGGCAGTTCAGCACAGCCACTAATGGCCGACTATACCTGTCATAGCTGTATGGTTTAGAACCATTCCACAGTTTTGGTAATGATATTGTTAGGAAGAAAACTAGCCAGCATATCTCATGAAGAAATGATCTTGAAACAGCTGTTCATATTGTGTGTGGCCCCTGGATCATTGCCACTTGTATTGTATTCATGATCTTTCTACGCTGGGGCTCTGGTGTCTGGCTTGTGATGATCAACATATGGGCCCTGAGTCAATTTAGTTAAATTAAATAGCTGTGGTGTCTGGTTTTGTAGGTGAAGTCAGATCTAGTTGCTGGTTTTGTAGGTGAAGACAGATCTAGTTGCTGTTTATGATGCACTGAGATTGTTGGTTGTCTGGTATTGTAGGTGAAGACAGATCTAGTTGCTGTTTATGATGCTGGTTGTGTAGGTGAAGACGATCTAGTTGCTGTTTATGATGCTGGTTGTGTAGGTGAAGACGATCTAGTTGCTGTTTATGATGCTGGTTGTGTAGGTGAAGACAGATCTAGTTGCTGTTTATGATGCACTGAGATTGTTGGTTGTCTGGTATTGTAGGTGAAGACAGATCTAGTTGCTGTTTATGATGCTGGTTGTGTAGGCGAAAACAGATCTAGTTGCTGTTTATGATGCTGGTTGTGTAAGTGAAGACAGATCTAGTTGCTGTTTATGATGCTGGTTGTGTAGGTGAAGACGATCTAGTTGCTGTTTATGATGCACTGAGATTGTTGGTTGTCTGGTTGTGTAGGTGAAGACAGATTTAGTTGCTGTTTATAATGCTGGTTGTGTAGGTGAAGACAAATCTAGTTGCTGGTTGTGTAGGTGAAGACAGATCTAGTTGCTGTTTATGATGCTGGTTGTGCAGGTGAAGACAGATCTAGTTTCTGTTTATGATGCACTGAGATTGTTGGTTGTCTTCTCATTGTTCTGCAGGCTACTTGTTGACCAGGAGAGAAGAGTGTGCCGGCTCACCAGAGAAACCACTGTCTGCCTTAGGAGCTGTCAGCTACCACGCTTACTGGCGCAGTGTCATTCTGGAGCAGCTGTCTGCTGTCTCCTCAGACAAGTCTGTCAGTATTCAATGTGAGTAGAGAGGAGGATGGAACGAACGAACAAACAAACAAACAAAAACTTTATTTCCAAAGGGTTAAGAATTGGGCACGCAGGCCCGTCTAACATTCTGCCCTTCCACTCCGCATCTTTAGTTTTAAACAATAATAACTTTCAGTTAAAAAAAATTTTTTTTTTTAAATTAGACATCTCATGGAAATACATCATGGCTTAACATACTATAATATTCAAATAAATTCCAGAGAAATTTGACTAAAAAGCTCAACAAAATGGGAAAAAGGAAAACGTGCACAAAACAACACAACGTAACGTTTCGGCCAGGCAGCCTTTTTCAAACACAAGTGGACTACACAAAAGAGGAATGGAGAGTATGTAGATCTCTAAGGGGTGACGTGAGCGACGTTTAAAAAATGTGATGCGGAATAAATGAAATAAAATAAAATAAACGATGGCTAAAAAATATAGTCACAATACTGGGAATAAAAGAAATGCAAAGTGTTAATGATACATAAATGATATTGATAAGAAATAGAATATGGTAATAATATGAAATAAAATAAAATAATTAACATTTAAAATGTAATAAGATTAGAACTATTTAGATGAAGGTGTGTTGATATTGATACCTCTTGGACTAAGAACGCCAAGGCTGTGGATAAGGCGATTTTCCAAAGCGAGGCGGGTAGTATGATCGCCAGAGCAAGATTTTAATGCTGTGACAGATATGTCATCTTTACCGCTGTGGTCAGGGCTATTAAAATGAAGAGGGATTGGTTTGAGTGTCTTCTTGTCGATATCAGAGAGGTGTTCCCGGAAACGATCAGCTAGCTTCCTGCCAGTCTCCCCAATGTATGCCATGCTGCATCGTTTGCAGATAATTGCATAAATTACGTTGCGGGATTCGCAAGTAAAAGGTTCCCTAATTTGAAAAGAACCATTAGGGAAACTGACCGAAGAAGTCTGGACAACGAAAGGACATGTTTTGCAGGTGCTGCGTGAGCACTGAGTAGTCCCAAGAGGAAGTGCTGTATGGATCGGTGGGAGTCGGCTTCGGACAAGTATGTCTTTAAGGTTGCGATCTTGTCTGTAAACTAATCTAGGTTTCTCACTAAAGATAATCTTGGTGTCCGGATCAGAGCGGAGGATGTCCAAATGACGAAAGAATACTTTGGAAGCAACCACATTGTTAGGGTGAAAAGTCAAGATCAATTTAGGTCCCTCATTGGTGGAGTTACGTTTGGTAGGAAAAGCATCTCTCCTGGTGATTGCTAAAACTTTGTTTAGAGCCCCTTGTAGAATGTGTTCCGGATAGAAACGGGCACGGAAGAATTCAAGAAGTTCAACTGATTTATCAAAGAAGTCAGAATCGTCAGAGCACAACCTGCGCAATCGACGGAGCTGTGAATATGGAATAGAATTTTTACACGGTAGTGGGTGAGAAGAGACGTATAGAGGAGATAACTGTGAGAATCCGTGGGTTTGTAGTAGGCTGTGGTTTTCAGACACGGGAAATCGATGCTAATCGTGATGTCAAGAAAGTTAACTGAAGTGGTGGAGATCAGTGAGGTGAATTTGATAGCCGGATTGAAATTGTTGATGTAAGTAATAAATTGGTCAAGCTCAACCATGGACATTTCGGTGATACCAACGCCATCATCTATGTATCTCCTATACACCTCCGGAAACTTGCCCGGGTATGATAAACTGACCTCGTATTCCAGGTGGCCCATAAAGAGGCACGCGTAACTAGGACCCATCTTGGTGCCCATCGCAACCCCACTGATCTGGTCAAAATACTCACCATTAAACTCAAAAGAGTTGAGGGTCAGTACCAGTTCGGCAAGGCGTACAAGAACTGAAGTAGGGATGATCGGGTTGGACCTTCTGTCCAAAAAGAACTGGAGTGCTCTAAGACCATCAGAGTGAGGGATAGACGTATAGAGGGAGCATACGTCTATCAGGAAAAGATGATAGGTTTTACCGGGAAGTAGTCTGATGGATTCGAAAATGTTGAGGGCATGGTTGGTGTCCTTGACAAATGAAGGGAGACTGGTGACAATCGGTTGGAAAATACTATCTAAAAATTCAGAAAGATACACCATGGGACAGGAGCATGCAGATACAATGGGACGTCCAGGGTTGTTGGGCTTATGGATCTTAGGCAGCAAGTACATACACGGTTTGCCAAGTTGGCTGTCAAAAACACGCATATTGTTGGCCTGCTTAGGAAGAGTACCCTGTGAAATAAATGATTGTAACGTGTCCTTGACTTTCTTATTGTTGGAGACTGTGGGGTCGTCCCTTCTTGCGGAATAGAAAACGGGGTTTCTGAGTTGGGTACTGGCTTCCTCAATATAAAGATCCTTCCTCCAAACCACTACAGCGCCCCCTTTGTCAGCTGACTTTATAACAATATCGTTCCTCTTTCTGAGGGAGGAGAGAGCCCGCCATTCACCCTTGGAGAGGTTGGATTTAGGTAAAGGCCTTTGTTCCAACTGTTGGATAGTATGAAGCGTGTGGCTGATGTATAGATCAAGCGCCTTAGATTTACCAGCAGGAGGAGTCCACTGTGAACGGGATTTGTTGGCCGTTGAAAGAAATGTAGTTTCGTCAGTAGGCCCAGTGGGGGCGGGTGGTTGACCCCAGTGATGATGTTTCAGGCGTAGACGGCGATAGAAGGAGTGTGCATCCTGGAGGAGAGTGTATTTGTCAGCACGTGGTCTTAGAGGAACAAATTTCAAGCCTTTACTAAGGAGTGAGCGTTCATCATCGGAGAGGGGTAGGTCGGGTGGGATGCAAACAACAAGGTTTTGGGCTAAGGCGGGATTAGCAGGTGCTCCAAAGGATTGTGGGGGCCGGAGGCAGTTCATTTTATTCTTCTTTGTATTGGTAAGGAAAGAATACCACTCCTGATTAGTGGTGTGAATAGTAGAGCGGATGATCAAATAGGCCAACCTGTTGTTGGTTAAGAGCCTTCGTAGATTGTAGACCAGAATATCAATCTGGTCGCCCCAGTTGTTGGAGGTGGCGTTCGTGTGCATCTAGTATGCAACGCATGCGAAGATAAGCGCATTTCTCCTCGATTCTGGCCAATGGTTGGCTGTAGTTCAAGGATGGCGGGCCTACTGAAGGATGGAATTTGGTGGCGAAACCTTTCGGGATAATTTTTTAAACGTAAACATCGTTGTAGAAAATTCCGATGAGATGTAACGCTGGTTTTCTTAAACGTGGTGAAAGCGAGATTTTTAGCAGTCAGAGACAACTCTGCGGGCATCAGACTGAAAGCAATAGTGATAAAAGAACGCAGGTTAGTCATGACTGAGGCGTGAGAAGGCATTTGGGAAGAGTAGAACACAGGTTAGGCACAAAAGTATATAAAGGGAAACAAATTTTAGAAACTTATTTTATTAAAAAGTACTCACGTAACCTTGAGTGACGAAAGCGCGGAAAATAAACCAAACATGCACAGTGACAAACAAAAACGTGGGTCAGGCGCAGTCGATGTGAAAATCCAAAAATGGTGAAAATATGGGGGTGACTGCAGTCAAGCTAATACAATGAATTCCAGAGAAATTCAAATAGTTTCCGATTGTATGTATAGGGGTTATTGATATTTTTTATTTCTGGTGGAAGATGATTCCACAGCTGAGCTGCAGAGTACGCTAAGCTTGTTTTGTATAGGTCTATTCTAGGTTTAGAGATATGCAATGTGTTAAGGCGTTTGCCTGTCTTCCATTGTATTTAAATAATGGCCAAAGGTAACATGGAGCATTTTTAGATATGATTTTATTAATAGGTTTAGCTTTATTGAATAGTAGGCGTTCCTGGAGTGGTAATAGCATGAGTTCTTTATATAGGTGCGAACAGTCATTTCCATGACTATTAGCTATTAAACGAACAGCCCTTCTGTGGCATGCTTTCGGTCATTTGATGACTGAATTCGCACATCCATCCCATATTGTGGAGCAAGTCTATGTGGGTCTGAATATGAGAAGTATAGAATAATTTCCTAGTGTTTTCATCCAGAAAGTTTTTAATTTTTGCTAGTTGATATACCTTTGTAGCAGTTTGCTTAGCAAGTGTTTGCACATGGGAGTTGAAGGTAAGATTTCCATCAATAATCAGGCCTAAAGTTTTGTGCTCAGTTATTACACTTTCTACTGGTGTGTTACCTAGGTAGAGTTGAAGGGTTCTATGAGAGTTTAAAGTGGAAGATTGAGGCAGTTTTTCCCTGTTTGATTGATATGACTGCATTATGAGTAGGGGGAAGGAGGGGAGGTTTACTGAGGCAGTTATTTGCTGTTTGGTAGATATAGCAGCATTATGAGAATTTAGTTGTAGGCCATACTACTCCAGGAGAGAGAGGTAGCTTGATTTTTCAGCCAACAACTGAGTACCTGCCTGTTATTTTTTCCACAGCCATCAGCGAGAGAACTGGGATGTGTCCACTGGATATCTTGCAAGCACTGAAAGATGTTCATTTCTTGAGGCATTACAAGGACAGGTGTGCTTGTTGTTGTGCTGCTTTTTTTTTTTTTTTTTTACTTGAAAACTACATTAAGCTGAGTATTTGTGTATTGTTTTTCACGATTTGAAATAAGTGGCCTGCATACTGTCTAGTGTCAGAGGACATTGGGAAGATTTATCAGTCTGGTGAGGAGAACAGAGACTGATGGGGAGATTCATAACAGGCTATTGGTGAAATGTTAGTGTTTTTCTTTTCGTCACAACACAGGACTTGGTGGTTGTAATGAACCTATCTTCTTACACAATGGAATGAACAAACTTTTTTTTTTTTCCAAAGGGTCACAAATTGGACATGCAGACCTGTATTAATCTACTAGGACATGCACACTGAGTGATAAACAAGCGGTGACACAAAGATGAGGATTACCCATGGAGAGGTCCTAGAAACCATGTTCAACCGTTGGGTTATATTAGGGCTTCTGGCAACAACCAGGGTGGGGCTTCACAATAACAAAAAAATACATTTCCTGCGGAGACTGGGATTAATAATAAATCCAGCACATGAACTGAACTGACCTGTCTACCCCACCAGGACATCACACAAGCGATAAACACCCGATGACAGAAGTGCCACCATGTGGATGAGGATCACCCGTGGAGAGGTCCTGGAAACTGCATTCAGCCATTTTTTATGGCCGGGCTAAATTGCAGCCCCTGGAAAAAACCAGGGTGGGGCTTCAGAATAATAATAAAATTGCAACCCACAAGGGGATGACTAAGGTTAACCAGCACATTGAAACGCTCATCTTTCGTACGGCAATTATCTATACTTTAAATCACAGTCATTTTCTATTTTGTTTGTTTATTATAAATAGAGTCTTATTTTAATTTAATTTCTTAGTTTAATTTAACACTCACATTGGCATCCTAGGTTATTGTGTATTTCTTTATTTATTGCGACAGCCAGTATAAGTAAACTTTTACTGGAGTTATATCCCTTTGAATATTTTCCCCCTCTTATATTATCTCTTACATTTTTTAATAATTACCTTTGTTATCTGCATTGGAACATATTCTGTAAGATAGTGGCATTAGAGGAGGTTGTTGCAATATCAGCCACATTTGGGTGGCTGCCACCATGCTGAATTTTAACCCTGAGTCTGACTCACTGCCCCATCACTCCAAAGGGCTGTTAACTGTGGAAAGAACTGGTCTAGGAAGCTCCTACCACTCCCTCACAGGCCATGACTCAGGTGTCAGCTCCCACACCCTATACAAATGTATTTGCTACAGACAATTCAGAGAATCACCAGACGTGCACTGAAATAGGACATTGGCCTGTTTAGGAAACAAGGGCATAACTGAAGACGAAAAGCTTGTGTTGTGCTAACTGCTCCATAGAGTTTCTACTACATATATGGCAGCAGAAAGACCAAGATGAGAATAAAATGTTCTTTCACTATCCTGGGCAAAGCCGAGAAATAATTGTAATAGTCTAAAAATAAAATTGTGTGTTTATAAATCACAGTTCATAGTATGAATATTAAGTAAAAATTCATGTGGTGTCATGGCAGCCTCTCATGTGTGGTGTCATAGCAGCCTCTCATGTGTGGTGTCATGGCAGCCTCTCATGTGTGGTGTCATAGCGGCCTCTCATGGGTGGTGTCATAGCGGCCTCTCATGTGTGGTGTCATAGCGGCCTCTCATGTGTGGTGTCATAGCGGCCTCTCATGGGTGGTGTCATAGCAACCCCTCACGGTGGTGTCATGGCAGCCTCTCATGTGTGGTGTCATAGCGGCCTCTCATGGGTGGTGTCATAGCAGCCTCTCATGGGTGGTGTCATAGCGGCCTCTCATGTGTGGTGTCATAGCGGCCTCTCATGTGTGGTGTCATAGCGGCCTCTCATGTGTGGTGTCATAGCGGCCTCTCATGGGTGGTGTCATAGCGGCCTCTCATGTGTGGTGTCATAGCTGCCTCTCATGTGTGGGGTCATGGTGACCTCTCATGGGTGGTGTCATGGTGACCTCTCATGTGTGGTGTCATAGCGGCCTCTCATGTGTGGTGTCATAGCGGCCTCTCATGGGTGGTGTCATGGTGACCTCTCATGTGTGGTGTCATAGCAGCCTCTCATGTGTGGTGTCATAGCGGCCTCTCATGTGTGGTGTCATAGCAGCCTCTCATGTGTGGTGTCATGGCAGCCTCTCATGTGTGGTGTCATGGCAGCCTCTCATGGGTGGTGTCATAGCAGCCTCTCATGTGTGGTGTCATGGCAGCCTCTCATGTGTGGTATCATAGCCTCTCATGTGTGGTGTCATAGCGGCCTCTCATGTGTGGTGTCATAGCAGCCTCTCATGTGTGGTGTCATGGCAGCCTCTCATGGGTGGTGTCATAGCAGCCTCTCATGTGTGGTGTCATAGCAGCCTCTCATGTGTGGTGTCATAGCAGCCTCTCATGTGTGGTGTCATAGCGGCCTCTCATGTGTGGTGTCATAGCAGCCTCTCATGTGTGGTGTCATGGTGACCTCATGTGTGTGGTCATGGTGACCTCATGTGTGGTGTCATGGCAGGACATTCTGTTTGTAATTTCTCTGCTGGTGTGTTTATGTGACTGATGTTGTCTTCTAGCTATTTGATCGTTGCCAATCTTCTCTGATGTAGGTCTGTGATAGCCATTGATATGGAGCTCATCAAATCTCACATGGACAAACTCAAAGGCAAATCTCGTCTGTCACTGGATGAAGATTGCTTGCACTGGTCACCCATGATCAGCAAGTCTTTCCTTTCAGATGAGGAAGAAGAGGCCGAGCGACAGGTGAGTGAAGCACATGTTCTGTAGAATTGCTGTTGTTTGCCTGTATGTGTTTGTTGTGGTTGCCTGGCATATTTTAGATTTGTTATAGTCATGTCATTCTGACCTTATTTGCAACCTTGACCCCCCCCCCCCTCTCGACCCCTCCTACCCACCCCTTCTTTGTTATCATGCATCTTATATTTGATTATTGATGCTGGTCCCAGTTTTATTTGGCCATAGTTCATGTGAGCAGGAAATCTGCTTGACACCAGATGCTGGGCCAGAGTACAGTTGTCTTCTAAGGTCTTATTTCTTTGATTGTGACTCGCAGCTCTTTCTTCTCACTTTGACTTGGTAGACATCTTTTCTAGCAGAAACGTTTTCTTCTTCTTCAAAGCGAATGAGTGCATAATATGAAATGAATTTGTTCATATGAAAGCCAACTGGGGCCAATTCTTGAGCACTCATAGTTAGCTTTAGCAAACTTGTGCGCGTCTACATCTGGATCTTTTTGTGACCATGAGATTGTTTGGGGTATATCTGCACTGTGCCTGTTCACTACAGCATGGCTTCAATATTTGCACTTTATGGCTGATTGATCAGATTCTCTAGACATTTGTTATCCACCTCAGTGTCTAGAGCCACAGTGATCAGGCTTTAGTGTTGATTGTGGCTTGATTGTGGCTGTCATCCTTCTCCTGCTCTTTGGGGCATGACAAGTTGCTTATTGACAGACAGATGGTTTGAAGAAATAGCATAGCTTGACTGAGATGCAACAGTTTCAGACATTCATTGACTGGTGCATGTCCAAAGTTAGAAACTCCAGTCCTTCAGAATGGTACACAGAAAGCTTGTTGATGACAATGAACCTTCTAAAAGAGTCCATGATGTGCAGACGTCAGGCATTTGTCCACAAATAAAGTTATTGTGTTTGCCCCGAGGCTCTCATTTCCAGAACAAGACTAATGTCTAGAAGTGGGTGAACAACCTGGACCTCCCACTGGAGTTTACAGCTGCTGAACGCTAAGAAAAAGAAGAAGAATCTGCAAATCATCATCTTAGCATTTACTGGCTGTAAACTCCATCCAGGCGGGAAATTCTGACTGTCCACTTCTTGAGATCTGAATTACATATCTGGCTTATTTGTATGCAGACTGTTGGTTTCTCTCTGCTCCAACAGTAGCAGTAGGTCTGTTCCCTCATCCAGCCACTCATGTGGCCTTGGAACCCATACTGAAAGCAAATTATCAGCTGCACATGTATCTGTATTTGTTGTTAGCCTGCATGTGGCTTTAGTTCTTGCTGTTGTAGATGGTTGATAGTTGATTTTATAGATTGCTTTCTTAATGTGTTTGATGGCATACCGACATGATCTGGGCATGACTGACCCCTGTGGGTGGCTTGTAAAGTGTTTACCACCTGATCACTCAGCCTCACACTTGGGTGGTAGGAGTTTGTATGTGTGCTAGTCCTCAGACAGTCTAACACTTGGGTAGGAGTTTGTATCTGCGCTAGTCCTCAGACAGTCTAACACATGGGTGGTAGGAGTTTGTATCTGTGCTAGTCCTCAGACAGTCTAACACATGGGTGGTAGGAGTTTGTAACTGTGCTAGTCCTCAGACAGTCTAACACTTGGGTGGTATGAGTTTGTATCTGTGCTAGTCCTCAGACAGTCTAACACTTGGGTGGTAGGAGTTTGTATGTGTGCTAGTCCTCACACAGTCAAACACATGGGTGGTAGGAGTTTGTATCTGTGCTAGTCCTCAGACAGTCTAACACATGGGTGGTAGGAGTTTGTATCTGTGCTAGTCCTCAGACAGTCTAACACTTGGGTGGTAGGAGTTTGTATGTGCGCTAGTCCTCAGACAGTCTAACACTTGGGTGGTAGGAGTTTGTGTCTGCGCTAGTCCTCAGACAGTCTAACACTTGCTTGGGAGTTTGTATCAGCGCTAGTCCTCAGACAGTCTAACACTTGCTTGGGAGTTTGTATCAGCGCTAGTCCTCAGACAGTCTAACACTTGGGTAGGAGTTTGTATCTGTGCTAGTCCTCAGACAGTCTAACACTTGGGTAGGAGTTTGTGTCTGTGCTAGTCCTCAGACAGTTCAACACTTGGGTGGGAGTTACTTGAATGTGGCATATTTCTATCAGCAACCCTGTAACTGTATGCAGCCAGTCTTTTTTGTTAGACTTGTTGCATTATTTTACTGCATTTTTTCTGCATGCGCACCTTGTTACCCCACATTTTTATTTTGAGACTTTGTGTGACCTGCTTTTTTTTGTTGCTCCCTTTGTTCCATGGTGCTGTGTGCTGCCTGGTTTGTAGTTGAGTGAGATGAGAGAGGTGGTCGAGAGTATAGTGACCGAACGCAAGGAAATCAGTAAAGAAATCAAAAACTCACCACTGAAGGATGATGCCAGGATTGCCTCCTTGTGTTCCCCAAGCACTCCTGAAGAAGACCAGACTGACAAGGTATGTGTTGTTGTCGGGTTCATGTATTGATTGTTGGGGGTGGCAGTGCTAGACTGTGTCTTGGCTCCCTGTACAATACAACACACGTATACGTAGCTGGCCACTTGGTGCAGTGTGCAGTACAACACACATATACATAGCTGGACACTTGGTGCAGTGTGCAGTACAACACACGTATACGTAGTTGGCCACTTGGTGCAGTGTGCAGTACAACACACATATACGCAGCTGGCCACTTGGTACAGTGTACAGTAAAACATACACATATGTAGCTGGCAACTGTGTGCAGTGTACAGTATAGCACACGTATATGTAGCTGGCCACTTAGTGCAGTGTACAGTACAACACAGGTATACGTAGCTGGCCACTTAGTGCAGTGTATAGTACAACAAACGTATACATAGCTGGCCACTTAGTGCAGTGTACAGAATAACACACACACGTAGCTGGCCACTTGGTGTAGTGTACAGAATAACACACATATACGTAGCTGGCCACTTTGTGCAATGTACAGTATTACACACATATACGTAGCTGGCCACTTGGTGCAGTGTACGGTTCAAAACACATATACGTAGCTGGCCACTTGGTGCAGTGTACAGTACAACACACATATACATAGCTGGCCACTTGGTGCAGTGTACAGTACAAAACACATATACATAGCTGGCCACTTGGTGCAGTGTACAGTACAAAACACATATACGTAGCTGGCCACTTGGTGCAGTGTACAGTACAACACACATATACGTAGCTGGCCACTTGGTGCAGTGTACAGTACAACACACACATACATAGCTGGCTACTTGGTGCAGTATACAGTACAACACACATATACACAGCTGGCCACTTTGTGCAGTGTGCAGTAGAGTGCATAAACTAGTCTTTGCCATCATTGGTGTCCTAAGAGGTTCACATATTGTCAGTGATGGTCCAGACAGCTTAGCGCAGCTTTCCCTGCATGTTTCAGTAATTACCTGGTCTTCACTGTGTACACCTTGATTGCTAATGTTTGCCTGGGTTGGATGCTTGAGTATCATTTGGTGCCACACTTGACCTTATGTATATTAGAAGTGTTTATTTGAAACCCACTGGTGCGGCATCATGTGTTGAACATGATCATGTCATGTGGTAAGTGTTAGCAAATGAATAAAAGATGATGTGCTTGACGTCCCTTGTTGCATAGTTTCTGATCACTGAGTGGCTGGGTTGATCCAAAGTCCGTCTAAAGAGGATTAAAAAAAACAACGGTTATTTAGTTTGACTGACCACTAAAAGGAGGTACACAAGGTGTGTTCAAAACACTTGCTGCATTACAGAGCAGAGAGGCTGTTGCATTACTCTTCCACATGGTGGCAGACAATGAGTCTTACTGCGCATCTTTGAGCTGAGCAGCAAAAGAGGAAGCATACAATGCAAGCATGGAGTTTCTTATCAGCTGTCTGTATTGGTGGCAGAACACTTATGGTTTATAACCGTTTGCAGTGACGCTGGTTCACATCTCCAGACTTTACCTTTATAAACATCCTAGCATGCTTTCTGCTGATGTGATTTGGTTGCCCAGAAAGCATTGGAACAGACGAAGTGGAAAACTCTACAGCATCCAGCTTTATAGTCTTGGGTTTGTCACTGTGCAACCTCTAAACAAAACTCAACCATTCCACGCAGATGCAGATAATAATGAGTGCGTTGAAAACTTGGTTCTCCCCATATGGGTTCCGGGTCCCATTTTGGGAAATATAAGAATAGACCCACTGCCTTCCCAACCAGCATGTCCTAGCTGTCGACTAACTGGGGCTTCCTTCAAAGTCGGAGTGCATCTGCCTAAGAGGCAAGGTACCAGCAGTCTGCATCCACATTAGTCAGATCTGTATAACAGATGTGCACGCCGCACTCATGTTCTTGAACCAGAGTCCAGAGGTGAACTTTCCGCCCCTGAAAGCAAAGAAGAAGGAGAAAAAAACTTGGTTCGATGAGTAGCCACAGTCCTCTTTGTTGTTGACGGCTACCTAAGCAATGGGATACTTCCCTAAATACCTGAGAGCCTTTTTCTGAGCAACCCATTCTGCAATAATCATTCAGAATGAATGCTTTGTGTAATTCTGTCACATTTGTTGATGTTGTTTTATATTTTTGTAGTAGGGCCATTGGAAGGAACGTATTTCAAGTGACAGTGCTTATAAATCGTTAATGAAATCATTAACCCATCATTTTAACAGAAAATTAAAACTTAGTAAATCCTGCACACATTTCTGCCATCCTTCAGTCTTCTCTAAACTTATATGTGGATGTCATATGGAACAGTGCACATACTGTCAGCGACTTGGAAACCGTCTGTGTGTCTTCAGTGATAACTTGTGGACAGTCTCACTAGATTGTCTGTGTGTGATCTGTGATAACTTGTGGACAGTCTCACTAGACTGTCTGTGTGTAATCAGTGATAACTTGTTGACAGTCTCACCAGATTGTCTGTGTGTGATCAGTGATAACTTGTGGACAGTCTCACTAGTTTGTCTGTGTGTGATCTGTGATAACTTGTGGACAGTCTCACTAGATTGTCTGTGGTGATCTGTGATAACTTGTGGACATTCTCACTATATTGTCTGCATGTGATCAGTGATAACTTGTGGACAGACTCACTAGATTGTCTGTGTGTGATCTGTGATAACTTGTGGACAGTCTCACTAGATTGTCTGTGTGTGATCTATGATAACTTGTGGACAGTCTCTCTAGATTGTCTGTGTGTGATCTATGATAACTTGTGGACAGTCTCACTAGATTGTCTGTGTGTGATCTATGATAACTTGTGGACAGTCTCACTAGATTGTCTGTGTGTGACTGTGATAACTGGTGGACAGGACGGCCGAACAAGGCTGCCATCTTGTGATTGACACATCACTGACAGCGTGAAACTTGAGAAATTACAGCCTGGTCCCATCACACCACGTTATGACTGCAGCTCTGTCAGTACCATGTTTTATCGCCTCATGCTTTTTTGATAAAACGGGGAATCCAGGATCTATTTGAAAGTGAATGTTAATCTCTCAGGATCACAGAAGGAGAACCCACAGGGGAAAATGTCAGCCAGTCCCACAGTGCAGCAAGAGATCACATTTGTTCAGAGGTTTTAGCCATTTTCTCTCGCATTTGTTCACTGGTTTCAGCCATGTTTCTGTTCACATTTGCTGACTAGTTTCAGCTGTTTGACTATTTGTTCAGAGGCTTCGGCTGTTTTAACATTTAGTTGGAGGTTTTAGTTATGTTTGTATTCAACTTTGTTCAATTTTCAGCTGTTTTAACATTTGTTTGAAGGTTTCAATCATGTTTCTGTTCATTTACATTCAAAGGTTTGAGCTGTTTGAACATGTGTTGGAGGTTTTAGTCCTGTTATGTTGACATTTGACTTGTTTAAGTATTAACTGGCGTTGTTTGATGCATCCATTTACTGGCTTGTTCTGTTGGATTACAGCATACCGCACAATTTTGTGTCTATGATTACAGCATACCACACAATTTTGTGTCTATGATTTCAGCATACCACACAATGTTGTTTCTGTGATTACAGCATACCACACAATGTTGTGTCTGTGATTACACCATACTACACAATGTTGTGTCTGTGATCACACCATACCACACAATGCTGTGTCTGTGATCACACCATACCACACAATGCTGTGTCTGTGATCACACCATACCACACAATGTTGTGTCTGTGATTACACCATACCACACAATGTTGTGTCTATGATTACACCATACCACACAATGTTGTGTCTATGATTACACCATACCACACAATGTTGTGTCTATGATTACACCATACCACACAATGTTGTGTCTATGATTACACCATACAACACAATTTTGTGTCTGATTACACCATGCTACACAATTTTGTGTCTGTGATAACAACATACTACACAATTTTGTGTCTGTGATTACACCATACCACTCAATGTTAGCTTTTCATTACAGCATTCCTTGAGTTCTTATGTCTTTGATTACTGTACACCCACACTTGAGTCTAAATGTGTCTGTCCAGACTGTCACTTGTAACCATCAGCTCTTCTGTCCTTGAGACAAATGATTTGACAGTCAGTTGTGCCATTGTTTGGTCTGGATGCACTCAGACTAGGACTCGGGCTCCTCGTCCCGTCCCAGCCAGTGTGTTTGGTGTTTGTTGCCATGAGCAGTGACACCGCACTTGTATTGCAGTCATCTTGTTGTGTTGATAGCCGTAAGAGAATTTGGTTGCTCTTTAGAATCCCTTAGCTTGAATTGAATGGATACATGTTTTGGTAGATGTTTTAAAGCTCAGAAAACAACTGCCTGAATATTAATAGATCTAGGTTTCCTTTCAGTGGCCAAGACGGTACGGCCGAAAACGCTTTCCCAGCATGACGTGGGGCAACCCAGGGGTAAAAAGGCTGCGCCGAGGAGAAGCTGCTAGTGAAGGTACTACTAGGTGATTTGTTTTGTTGTGCGAGCACTGTTTTGTCTTGTATGTGCACTGTTTTGTCTTATATATGCATTGTTTTGTCTTATATATGCACTGTTTTGTCTTATATATGCAATGTTTTGTCATATATATATATGCACTGTTTTGTCTAGTGTGAGCACATTTATCTTGTGTGTGTAGTCTCATCGAAACATGTTTAAATAATTTATTAATTCCATTTGCCGGAGATGTTAGGTAGCAACATCCTGCATATAAATAAGCCAGATCTGTAAAACAGATGTGCATACAAAACTTCCACTAAAGTTCTGGAACACAAAGTCCAGAAGTAGATGAACAACAAGACCTTTCTGCCGAAGTTTACAGCTGGTGAACGTGAAAAAGAAAAAGCAGCAGAGTGAATTACAGACTTGCAGATGCTTAGGTTGGCCTTTACTATGTTTGCAAACAGGACAAGAATGATACAGGCAATGAGATGGATTCATAGGAAAAGAATGCAATGGACCGCATTGTCCACGCTGCACTATAGTACAGTTCAACACTGTTGTCTAGAAAGTGTGAAATGGGCGAGCAATTGTGTAACAATATAGGGCTATCATTGTATATGTTTACAACATAAGCCAGTGGCATTACAAACTGCTTATACTACTGACTATAATTCTGATCTAGTTATTTGACCTTAGTGACCTGTGCCAGGATGGTTATACTGTTGACTATAATTCTGATCTAGTTATTTGACCTTAGTGACCTGTGCCAGGATGGTTATACTGTTGACTATAATTCTAATCTAGTTATTTGACCTTAGTGACCTGTGCCAGGATGGTTATACTGTTGACTATAATTCTAATCTAGTTATTTGATGTTAGTGACCTGTGCCAGGGTGGTTTTAATGTTGCCTATAATTCTAATCTAGTTATTTGATGTTAGTGACCTGTGCCTGGGTGGTTATTCTGTTGACTTTAATTCTAATCTAGTTATTTGATTTTAGTGACCTGTGCCAGGGTGGTTTTAATGTTGCCTATAATTCTAATCTAGTTATTTGATGTTAGTGACCTAATAGGAGCTGTCATTTGATCAGTGTGTTTCGGTCTTGATCTTTCCAGCAGATTCCAAGTGTCCATTTGAGTTTGAAGTTGAAGAAGACATCAAGATGTTGCCACCTACCCAGCCTCTGAAACCTCTTCGCATTGACAGATCCCCAGTTCGAGCTCCTGTCAGCTCATCACCCCTAAGTCCCATTAGTCCTTCACCATTCCGCCCTAGCAATGATTCACCAGTGAAAACACCCGAGAAAAGACTCAGTAAAAAGTCAGCCCCCGTCACGCAGGACACAGATGAAACTACACCACTTCTCCGAGGCAGGCAAAGCAGAAAGATGAGAAGGCCACTAGGCAGGCCTCCAAAGAAATCATCACCTGATGAGTCTGCATCTCCTCCGCCGAGAACTGAGAAGAAAAAGAAGCCCACTCGAAAAGCTGGACGTGTGGTCACTAAAGATATTGACATGGACCAGCCTGCCAGAAAACCTGGCAGACCTTTCAAGCGCAAGCCAGGCCGACCCCCGAAAAAGGCATCAGATGAAGCCCCTGAGTCTTCGAGTAAATTGTCAGGCCACAGAACAATCAAATCCAACACAAAAGTTCCAGGAAGAAGACCTGGGCGCCCACGAAAGGTTGGTTTTTTCCTTCTGTTTTAATGTTTTTCTTCTGAGTAAATATAGCAGATGAGAACTAATGACTGAAGTTAACAAAAAATCATATTTGTCTGAATACAAAACATTTAGTGTCAATGTTGTTTTCTTGTGGATTTGTGAATAACTCAATTACCTCTGTCAGATATCCAATCTGCCTAGCCTGTTAGCCTGAGTTCTAGCATCCAGGGTTTACTTAGCCTGACTCTAGTGTCCAGGGTTTACTTAGCCTGACTCTAGTGTCCAGGGTTTACTTAGCCTGACACTAGTGTCCAGGGTTTACTTAGCCTGACTCTAGTGTCCAGGGTTTACTTAGCCTGACTCTAGTGTCCAGGGTTTACTTAGCCTGACACTAGTGTCCAGGGTTTACTTAGCCTGACTCTAGTGTCCAGGGTTTACTTAGCCTGACTCTAGTGTCCAGGGTTTACTTAGCCTGACACTAGTGTCCAGGGTTTACTTAGCCTGACTCTAGTGTCCAGGGTTTACTTAGCCTGACTCTAGTGTCCAGGGTTTACTTAGCCTGACTCTAGTGTCCAGGGTTTACTTAGCCTGACTCTAGTGTCCAGGGTTTACTTAGCCTGACTCTAGTGTCCAGGGTTTACTTAGCCTGACTCTAGTGTCCAGGGTTTACTTAGCCTGACTCTAGTGTCCAGGGTTTACTTAGCCTGACTCTAGTGTCCAGGGTTTACTTAGCCTGACTCTAGTGTCCAGGGTTTACTTAGCCTGACTCTAGTGTCCAGGGTTTACTTAGCCTGACACTAGTGTCCAGGGTTTACTTAGCCTGACACTAGTGTCCAGGGTTTACTTAGCCTGACTCTAGTGTCCAGGGTTTACTTAGCCTGAGTTCTAGCATCCAGGGTTTACTTAGCCTGACTCTAGTGTCCAGGGTTTACTTAGCCTGACACTAGTGTCCAGGGTTTACTTAGCCTGACTAGAGTTCACATATCCTCACGTTATTGTCCAGAGCTCACATATCCTCACTTTATTGTCCATTGTTCATATATATTTACTTTATTGTCCTGAGTTTATATCCTGGCTTTACTGTCCTGAATTCACTTATCCCGACCTTTCTGTCTGGAGTTTACTTAGCATTACCCTCCTGTCTTGGATTCACTTAGCATTACCCTCCTGTCTTGGATTCACTTAACCTGACCCTCCTGTCTTGGGTTCACTTAACCTGACCCTCCTGTCTTGGGTTCACTTAACCTGACCCTCCTGTCTTGGGTTCACTTAACCTGACCCTCCTGTCTTGGGTTCACTTAACCTGACCCTCCTGTCTTGGGTTCACTTAACCTGACCCTCCTGTCTTGGGTTCACTTAACCTGACCCTGCTGTTTTGAGCTTACTAAACCTGACCCTCCTGCCTTGGGTTCACTTAACCTGACCCTCCTGTCTTGGGTTCACTTAGCATGACCCTCCTGTCTGGGGTTCACTTAACCTGACCCTCCTGTCTGGAGTTCCTAACCAACCAACCAACCCTAAGCTACTGACAGCAGTAAATGTGATTTGTGCCGAGTGTTTCTGTCTAACACTAGACTCAAGGATCTAGAAAGCTGCTAGTTATGTCTGTTATATGTTTTCACATATTTATATTTCTTCCACAGATGGAGTCAAAGGATGCCTCAAATGTGGATGACAAGGAGAGTGACAGCAGCGATGAAGAGAGTGACCAGCGTGAAGCAGACAAGCTCAGCACCAGCTCCTGTGACAAGAGCAAGGAAGTGGAGGAAACAAAAACACCTGCTGCAGAAGTGGATAATGATTTCTTGCCATCGCAGCAGACCACCACCACTAGCCCGGCGCCCAAAAAGAACACAGTAATTGAAGAATACATTGACTCCTCGTCCAGCAGTGACACCAGTGGTTCATCCAACACTGACTCCTCCGATTCTGATGATGATGAGGAGGATGATGATGATGATAACGATGGTGATAATGATGATTCTGAAGCAGAAGAGCCTGTGAAACAAAAATACCTGACTGATGGTAGCAAGAGTGCAATGGGGACAACCGAGACATCGGAAATGACAACTAAAGTGGGGCGTTTGTCAGCATCATCTTCGGATGATGATAGTGATGCTATTCCCAGGAAGAGCAATGTTACAAACAACATGCGGCAGAGTGATGATTCACAGCTGAGAAAGAGTGATGAGGACAGTGGAGATGATCAAGCTTCGCGACTTGTTGGTGTCCACAATAATAGCAAATTGTCCTCAGATTCTGACAGTGATAGTGAAGATAATGCTTCAGTGAGGTCAGCTGTGAGGAAAGACAAAGATGCTGCAGTTAATAGAAAGGATGAAGGTAAAGTGGAAACAGCAGGTGAAGAAAGAGGCGAAGAAGATGAAGAAACTAAAGCTGCCAGCCAGAACCTGGCAGACATTGTCAAAGATTTAGAGGAAGCTGATGTGGAGAAGAAACCTGATAGTCCGGGGAGTGATGTGGAGGCTCAACCAAGTGTCCACTCGGAGGCAGCAGATTCTTCCTCTTTCGACAGCATTGATTCATTGACGGATGCTTTCAGTGATGCTGCAACACCCACTGATCCACAAATCCCTTCCTCCCCTCCTCCTGCCCCAGCTCCTGTCATTGTGAACAGTGATGATGATATGCCCTCACCTTCAGGCAGTATGGGTCGAGGTCCAACACCTCCACTGCCTCATTTAATACAGGAACCAGATCTGCACTTGGGAAGATCATCAGTTGATCCAATGCTGTCCTCACCCCTTAGCAATCAGCAGCTACAGCAGGTGCAATCTCTCCAGCAGAAACCACTCACATCACCTGGAAGCAGGACTACTATCCCGGTCAATATCCCATCCCCAATTTTGATATCTCCATCACCCGAGTACAGACATCATCCTCATACACCCCAACAGATGCCTACTCCATCTTCGGTAAAAGATTCATCTCATGAAGATATTTATCAGAATGTGGGAAGTGTGCAAGGAGCTCCTCTTCCGTCGCCCGCCCAGTTGACCTCTCCGGCGCAGTTGACCTCTCCGGCACAGCATCATTCGCCTGCACATCTGACATCACCGTCTCAGCTGACCTCTCCTGCACGCCTGACCTCCCCAGCGCACCTGTCCTCACCAGCACAGATGGCCAGCAGTATGCTGAGCCAGCAGGAGAAGCACCACCCAGGGCTGGACACCTCCCCTGGCATGCAGCCACAGAAAGGTCATGCTAGTGGTGCCCTCAGCCTCTCCACTTCCAGGGCTTCGAAACCTCCGGCTTCTCGGTCTCAGCAGAGATCCAGATCACAGGCAGGCCAGGCCCGAGTTCCAGGATACCACGGTCAACCGTCTGGCGGTCCTCCGCCACTCTCAAGTATTCAGCCTCTACAGCAACAGGCCTTTGACTTGAACATCACCCAGCTGGGTCTGGGCTCTCCTGCCTCCCTCGGCAGCGGGGAAATGACACTGGATGGTGCCCAGCATGTCTCACTTAACTCCCTGAATTACGACTGTGCCCAGAACATGCAGAACATGCTGTACTGCAACAATGGACAAGGCAGGAACAGTTTTATGGACACGGTGAACATGGGTGGTCACCAGGCGATGCTGGCACACAGCGAGGGCTCTGCTGGAGGGTACCAGATCAACCCCTCTGTGGTGACTAGTAGCCTGAGCTACCACCACCATGGCTCTCCCATCTCAACATACAGTCCCACTATGTTACCACCTCAGTCACAGTCGCAGCAGCAGCATCAGCGCCAACAGCAACAACAACAGCGCCAGCAGTCACAGCAACAGAATTCCCAACAACAGACACTCCAGCAGCAGCAACAACAACAGCAGCAGCAGCAGAATTCACCCCGCTTGCTTCAGACGTCCTCTGCCCTGCCAATGACACTCCATCAGGTCATGGTCCAGGGTGCTAGTATCTACCAGACCTCGGGTCAACAACCAAACAACTGTGACCTCATTAAGCTGCAACAGTTGACCAATCGTATACAGGACCTGCCTGTGGACACCTTACAGATGACTCCGCCTCAGAACATGACCCCGCCTCCCATCAACATGACCACCACTCCAGCTGTCATGATGCGATCTATGACAACTCCTCCAATCACAGGCCCCATACCACACATAGCTCTCATGGGCCAACCAACAGCAGCTACTTACAAACGCCAGCGGTCATCTTCATCCACATCCCGAAAGACCCCGAGTGTGCCTCCAGTTAGCCCCAATGTGACAGTAACTCCAAACATGAGCCTGTCTCCCAACGTGACAATTCAGCCAGGTGGAAGCATGCTGCCTCGGTATATAAACTACAGGATGCCCCAGGGAGTCATTAACCCGGGCTACATCACAGCAAACCCACATGGTTTCTTACAGCCGCAGCAGATTCCCATGCAGATGCAGATGATGAACATGAATGTCCACTCGGCAGGTAGTGCCCAAGCCGCCTTCCAGCAACAGGTGCAGCAGGCTGGGCAGCCAGGCAACCCCCCGACAGTCTATGCTCCATACTACATCAACATGAACAATGTCATGCGCAGATAGCAGTCAGCTCGGGGTCCTCTGTAGTCTTGGCATCTGTCCTGTTTGAAACCTATATTTAGAGTACACTGGCCTTGTCATGTATAGCACCCATCTATATTTTTGTCATATCTTCTGTTTGTTTTTTACCTGTATTTAGATCAGACTCCCTGTATCATCTTTATCATCCAAGGTAGACTTGCCTCCTGTTGAGGACCTGTATTTAGATAACATCCACCTTGTCATATACAGCATCCATTTACAGTCTTGCCCTGCCTCCTGATTTCAATAAACCTGTATTTAGTAATGCTGACCTTGTTATGTACAGCACCCAGAATGAATCATTGGTCTTTCTGATTGTTTAGTTAAATATATATATTTGTGTCAATTATCTACTTTTTGTTGCAGTATTTTCTTGCTGTTTTGTCTTACTGGCCGCTTGATCTTCATCTGGGTTTGACTGACTGACTGTAAGTTATATCACAATAAGAATGGGATTTATCCTTTTTTCACAAAGTATCAGAGTCTATGAAGAAATAGACAATGAAAGGGACAGTTGAGCACCTCGTACGTGAAATCCACGACAGGTGACATCTCCCAGTTTCTGGTAAAATTTTAACTGTCACTGTAGCTTTTGAGTTGTTTCTCTCTTCAGTTTGCTCTCTCTCTCTTACATGTTTTCTCCATATTGCCACAAAATTGTTTGGTTCCAACTTCATGGCAAACAATTGCTTTATTTTTTTTGCCAGTGACAAACAAATAAATGCCTGTTACTGTTCCATGTGAACAGTCATTTTTCCTAGCACAATTCAAGTTTGCATACACATTGAATGTGTAAGGCAGCTGCCAGAGGTCCCAAAACCAAGAGTCTATTACCAGAATTGCAGTTGATAGTTGATGGAAGCATCAGTCATGACAAACCAGTAGTTGTGCACACATGTCTGCATAAGGTCATCTGACCTAACTAGGAATTGAGAGAGAAATCAGATGTTGATTGGGAACAAATTCAAGAGTCCTCCGGGGCTGAAATAATGAATGTTGTGTTTGCACAGAATGTAAGTTTTCAGAATTATTAGTGTAGTCACTGTTTGTTTGATTGATTCAGTTGTGTTATTTGAGAGGGTAGATACTTTTGTTAGACCAGGATTATCATGCAAACAAAAGTGTTTAATGTTGTATACAGGCATTCTGTTATTATATGATACATGGGAGACCTGGACAGTCAGTCAGAAACAGCATATAGTTGTGACACGGATGTGATTTTAGCCTGAACTCAGATGTTGTGGGGAGAATGCATCGTCTCAAGTTATCTGTACAGGCTTGGTTCTGGGAGGAGTCGCTCTTTTAGTTATTCTTTGTTTATGCTGGAGTCTTCTTGTCTTTTGTTTGATTGCTTGTTACTTTCTTTGTTTGGGCTAGACTTGAGGATACAGTTCAGTCTTCAGTGTGAAATACTGGAGAATCCGCTGATTGTTGTCTGCATCATCTGTAGTTCAAACTGGGGCTGCCTGAGATGTAAGGGAGACTGCCAGTAAACAGATCTTCTTGGCTCAGACAGCTGACTGATTAACTGGCTGCCATCTGTCAGTGTAATGGGGTTGACACTGGATTGTCCTGTTGTACCTAGTGGTTGTCAGTGCAATGGGGTTGACTCTGACATAATTTCTGTTGAAATGTTTATAGAGGCTGAGTGTTGCAGCATCAGCCACATACAGCAGTCGGTTGACTGTTGATCTGTACCATATCTTGGCTTTCTTCCTGAAGGAATGTTCCAGCATTGAAGGCCATCCTTAATGCGTGATTTGTAAACATGTTACTGTGTTGAAGGCAGGGCCATACCCTGACCTGGGTATTGTGGGTACTGGGGGCAGCAGTAGGTTTTAGATACTGTCAAATGCTGCTTGTTTAAACATGTTTCTACTGTGCATGAGATAATTGTCAGTTGTGATCTGTGGCACATCTCAGTGGTTGCTATCACCTTCTTGTGTGCTGGAATGTCTGTCCACACACTAGTAGTACTGGATGATTTCCTTAACTGTTCATCTGCTCTTATGTTCTATTTAAAGAAATTTTTGTTATGAATGGAAACAATTAACTCCTTGTTTGAATGTGTGTGTATGTGGAAAAAAAAGGGGGGGGGGAGGGGTGGGATGTGATCCTGTTATGTATACACTACTTAGTATAATATACACACACACAGTTATAAAGGTTTTGTTAGTGCAGCACCATGGTCCTATATTGTTGATTGTTACCTAGAACATTTGCACAATCTAGCACTTGTTCTCACTGTCCTATTGCTGAACACCAACAACAGCTGTCACAAGTTGAACAGATGGTGGTGATTGTGTGCAAGAGATTTGTATGTTATTTCCTGCTTATTTATTTGATTCCTAGAGAGGAGTTTCGGGCTGTGGTCAGCTGATCCACCTAATATCCACATGTTACATCACACAGTGAGGCTGTGGTCAGCTGATCCACCTCTAATATCCACATGTTACATCACACAGTGAGGCTGTGGTCAGCTGATCCATCTCTAATATCCACATGTTACATCACACAGTGAGGCTGTGGTCAGCTGACCCACCTCTAATATCCACATGTTACATCACACAGTGAGACTGGACAGCTGATCCTTCTCTAATATCCACATGTTACATCACACAGTGAGACTGGACAGCTGACCCACCTCTAATATCCACATGTTACATCACACAGTGAGACTGGACAGCTGACCCACCTCTAATATCCACATGTTACATCACACAGTGAGGCTGTGGACAGCTGATCCACCTCTAATATCCACATGTTACATCACACAGTGAGGCTGTGGACAGCTGATCCACCTCTAATACCCACATGTGATATCACACAGTGAGGCTGTGGACAGCTGATCCACCTCTAATATCCACATGTTACATCACACAGTGAGGCTGTGGTCAGCTGATCCACCTCTAATATCCACATGTTACATCACACAGTGAGGCTGTGGTCAGCTGACCCATCTCTAATATCCACATGTTACATCACACAGTGAGACTGGTCAGCTGATTCATCTCTAGTGCCCACATGATATTAGTGAAGTAGAGGACAGCTGTTCTACCTCCAGTGACCACACTATGACACGTATTGACCGGCAACTATTTGTTACTTCTGTTGTGATATTGAGAAGAAACAGTCTGAGTGACAGGCAGTCAGCACTTACTGTCCCCTTTCTTGTAGGCATTACCTTACTTGTAGCTGTGCAGAAGAATGCCAATTGGTGGCCACGTCAATCACCATGTCGGCAGATGATGATTGTCTGTGGTTGAAACCTGGTCCCAGATGCCACATTGTCTGCTGGCTTACGGAGATCACCTGGCCGGCTGTTGGTGAGAGGGACATACAGTTTGTGCTTTGTTTGTTCATGTCAGTATTGAGAATGTTTGGTTGTTAGTGGAATCACTTTGTTGTACAGTTATCTCAGACATGCTGATGCCACGGATGCTGCTGTGTGCAGCAGTTATTGCACTATTTGATCTTTCCCTGAGTATGTATGTATATTTGATGAACAAACTTTGGTCACATGTTTGTCTCCATATGAACAATGTTTATGAACTGTTATAAAAGCACAGTTATCCATCTCCGGCACACATCAGATTCTGCAGATGACCCAGCTGACCATGCACATTCCATAAACACAGGCCGTCTGGGAAGTGGGTCTGCTTCCTGGGTGAGCTTCTCTGCTGGCCACTGCTACTTATGTACCTGCTGCCTGTGTAGACTTTCTCTTGTCAGCATCTATCACCTTCCAGCTTGTCTGCCTGTACTTTCTAATGTCACATTAATCAACTTCAAGCTTGGAACTTTCCAACATTTTGTGTGCATCCAGCTTGTCTGCCTGTACTTTCTAATGTCACATCCATCAACTTCAAGCTTGGAACTTTCCAACATTTTGTGTACATCCAGCTTGTCTGCCTGTACTTTCTAATGTCACATCCATCAACTTCAAGCTGGGAACTTTCAAGCACATATTACATACATGAGGACTTGTATCTTGTCATTTGTTATTTATTTGACTCGTTATTTATTAGGCAGTTTCATCCTAGAAGTTCATGCACTCTTTAGGCCTGAAGTGACTTTAGCTTTGGTGTGGCAGACAGACATTATGCAAAGACCTGAAATTTCTCATGGAGACCAGCATGGCCACTTGTATGTGTGTAGTATTTTTATATTGAGTAAACCACATTGTTGCACAGATTGGTCGTATGTGAGAGAGAGACTGCCAGTGATGTGTCAGACCACACTTTGTTGCCTACACTTGTATGATGTGTCAGACCACACTTTGTTGCCTACACTTGTATGATGTGTCAGACCACACTTTGTTGCCTACACTTGTATGATGTGTCAGACCACACTTTGTTGCCTACACTTGTATGATGTGTGAGACCACACTTGTTGCCTACACTTGTATGATGTGTGAGACAATTGATGTTCTCTCACTGATGTTATTATCATGAATGAATAATTTGTTAACTGCTTTTTCATCACCACATCAAGTCTGCCAATCATTAATGGCTGCTTTTTAATGTTGCATTTCTTCTAGCATTTCCATATACACACACACACATACATTCTATCTTTCTCAGCATGTCTTGGTAGTTCTACCCAACACACACGCACACATACATTCTCTATCTCTCTCAGCATGTGCTGGTAGTTCTATCCAACACACATGCACACATACATTCTCTCTCTCTCTCTCAGCATGTGCTGGTAGTTCTATCCAACACACAAATACATTCTCTCTATCTCTGTCTCTCTCTATCTCTTGTCTCTCTCTCTCTCTTTCTCTCTCTCTCTCTCTCTCTCTCAGCATGTGCTGGTAGTTCTATCCAACACACACACATACATTCTCTTTCTCTCTCTCTCTCTCTCTCTCTCTCTCTCTCTCTCTCTCTCTCTCTCTCTCTCTCTCTCTCACAGCATGTGTTGGTGGTTCTATCCAACACACGCACAAACCTTCTGTCTCTCAGCATGTGTTGGTA